ACCGTCAGCATCTGCCGCAGCAGCAGTACCGTCAGCATCTGCCGCAGCAGCAGCACCGTCAGCATCAGCCATCACACCCGACATGGTGAATCAGTTATTCGCAGTCCTGTCAGCTGCAGACCCGTTAGCCACAGCAGCAGCACCGTCAGCATCTGCCGCAGCAGCAGTACCGTCAGCATCAGGCGCAACAGCAGCACCGTCAGCCGCAGCAGCAGCACGGTCAGCATCTGCTGCAGCACCGTCAGCCGCAGCAGCAGCACCCGCAGCATCTGCCGCAGCACCGTCAGCCGCAGCAGCAGCACCCTCAGCATCTGCCGCAGCACCGTCAGCCGCAGCAGCAGCACCCTCAGCATCTGCTGCAGCCGCAGTTTCACGGGTCTCCCTGGATACATTGCATTATTTGCCACATGACATGTGCCAGTCTCGAATGGATGGGCGGCAATGGAGCAATGCCTGCACCATCATTGCATGTCTACAGGCCTGGAAGTACCTGACTGTGCCCTACCCCATACAGCCATTGTCATCTGCCGAAGTCACGAAGAGATTTGTAAACAGCATGAGAGAGGGCAATCGACTGTATGATGATGCCAAGTTGGGGAACAATCTCCTTGCCATTTATGATGCGCTTGATGTCATACCAGGCAAGCCACTTCGGGTGGCACCTCGTTCCGATTTTGGTGCACGAAATGAGGAAGGTTTATCAAAGTTGTTAAAGAAGTGTAAGGATCAGGCTATTCTTTCCCAATCTGTTCTTCCTGCCTCTTTAATTCAAAATCCCTACACCATTCTTCTGGTATTTTTCCCATCTGGTTATGCTCAAGTCTTCGACAGCCATGCCCATGGCGAGCGTGGTGCCCTAATCGCTATTCTCCCAGCTGACATGAAAGTTGCAGCGAATTTTCTTTCCACGCTTGTTGGGCACATAAAAGATAGCCATCTCTGTATATTGGCACGAAAACAGTAGTTTATCCTTTTGGTGCGTTTTGCCAAAATTATCTTGACCCACTGATTGTGACGAGAAATGTAGTTCTGGAAACTATAAACATTTCAGCCATGTGTTATGGCGATCGCATGCATCCCCCCGATACACATCGCATACATACTCATTCTTCCAAGTTGCTTCACGTTATGATCTTGCATTTGAAAGCCCTATTTGAATATTGTGGCCAGCTGTCTTTGATGGTACGGTACGGCACAGGTACGGGATAGCGCAAGGCATGCCGATGGCACAAACAAACAAACACAAAGTTAAAGCTGTGATGACCTTGGCTAGCGTCAGACGTTACTGAAGTAACGTCTTTTGCATAGCTACGGTAATAATATAATTGTCAGCTTGTAGGTGCAATTGTGTGGAATGTTCAGGTGGTGTTGAAGGAAGAGGAAGGTGTAGAGTTATGATTGCAGCCATGGCACAGGTGACTAAAGCAAGAGGGGTGCTGTTTATCATGCACCTACAATATTCATGCATAAACGAACACGCACATGCACCCACACATACAGAATTATACACCCATACACAACGCATCACACACAAACACACACACACACATGCACCCAGCCACACCTACACACACAGTGGCAGAACTTCAATTTAGAACAAACATACAGATGTTCTCACTGTACTCTACTGTACGCTGTTTTGGTGGAAAGAAAGACATGGCTGGATATAGAAGGGAAGAGTTACACAGGCCATTGCAATCCTAGGATTGACTACACACCACCATCCAGAAAGACAGGCAAGAAAAAGGTTTTGTAGAATTCCTCGATCCGAGCCAAATTTCCTGACCAGGTCGGGTCAGCCCGAATTGGGATGATCACCGTCTCCAACGGAGTCCACACGACAAGGTCGCATACTTCACGACCTGTCAGACATAAGTTACCTTGGATTTGATGGAAATAATTCCATCCAGATTCAGTTGACAAATCAAGGGAAAAGTTAGCAGGAGAGGAAGAAGACACTGACAAGAAGAAGGTCTTTTCCTTCGCCATAGCTGCAAGAGATGTCGATCTTGCCGAGTACGGACACTTGACCTCGATGAGCTTTGTTTCACTAACTACGCCATCTGGGGAACCACCAATGAGGCCACATGGTGCAAGCCATAAGCCGCTGGATCTCACAGACACATATTCACACTCCTCATAGCATGCAACAGCCGTACTTTCGTGCATGAGACCCCACTGGATGGCCTTTTGCCCAGACAAATCATACTGACCAAGAAGGCGAGTAAATAAAGATTTAGATGGCTGGCGGCCAGATGAGATAGTCTTCAGCACAGGACCGAAGTTGGATGCCGTTATTCTGCCCTTGCGTAGAAGCGACCAAGTAGCATTCGAGTTTTGGCCACGTGTTGCTTTTTCCACGGCTACAATTTGGGCAGCAGATACGGATAGCCTGGTACACACATAGGTGACTTTGTGTTCTGCTTCCAGGAATCCTTGACTCAGGGTAATACCTTCAACCGTCTCCGTCGGCAAATTGTCCGCTTCTTTCACCTCGGGATCTAGCAGCCAACGAAAACCCTTCCACCTGTCAAGTGTCCCAAGCTGATGGTGAAACCATGCCCTGTCCTCATTATCCACAGGGCGTGAAATGGCACAAAACGGCTTCGACTTCGGGAAAATGTCATCCACAGTCCTACAAAGCAGATAAAATGCGTGCACACACACACACACACACACACAGAGTGCTTTTTATTACTCCGTTGCTCGCTAAAAACGGGCTGGAAACATACAACTGCGACACTGCATCACGTGACGTGAGTTTTCGCCGTCGGCGTACCCCATAGAAAGGGTATCATGAGTTGCACGCTCTTGGGGGTTATACTCTTGCTAATATCAAGAGTCTGCCTGTCTTCTGGCATATGCGAATACGTGGACTTACTGTTGACGTAAACGCGGACGTGAATATACTAATATCAATAAGTATATAAACAAGAGTGTGCAACTCGAGGATGGGTTGGCCCACGACGCAATTTTTTGTTGACGTAATATTTTCTATGACGGACACGCTGCGAGCCTTTTGGGAAGTTTTGCCTCGTGCACTTGGCCAGGCTTTACATTACAAGGTCGGTGCCCAGCACCTGCTCTTACACTGCCCTGCGGCAAAATCCGCATGCTCTGTAAAAAAAGGTGACGTCAACAAAAAATTCTGCCCGCGGGCCGCGGTATCTGCAGATTGTGCAGGAGAGATCCGGAGTTGCACACTCTTGTTTATCTACTCTTGCTAATATTGATAAGCATCCTCCACATCAGTAACAGTAACACCTGCCAACTGGTTGTCGCACATGCTGGATTGCCAGTAAGCTAAACATCGAGGCAAAGAATTTCATGAAACCAATACATGTACGTGTTGCAGTCACATCGGAGGCACCAGTTTTCTACTTTCACAAAACTAATAATCAACAATAATTTGCTTAAAAATCCTTACTTTGTTTCACTAGTTCCCTTCCGTACAGTCCAAGAACATTCCCTGTCCGTGCTGCTCACATTCTTGTTCGCGTAGACAAGGGCTGCAGCCATGTGGTGGCACCGTCCTTGGCCTTTGGGACAAGTGCACGAAGCGCGTACAACGCCACCTTCAGAACCAAGTTCGATCTACACAAAAATTTGAATATAAAAATAGTAGAAATATTCAAAGACGATGTGAGGGTGTCCAGGTCGATAGAAGAGACTGTAAGCAGCTAGGAACGGCACAACAGTTGCTTAGTGCTAGGTTGCTCACCTCCACATCATATCTCTTGTCCTTCATGCTTGCGTGGATCTTGGCAGTAATGTGCCCAAGCTCATGGTGAAACAGAAATGATTCCACGCGGTTCGAAGAGTGTGCATTTTCTCCACGCTGGATCAGCCTTGGTTCTCCACTGAAAAAAGTGGCGATGCTAGATAACGGTACTAAAGACATTCTAAAACAAACAAAACGCAGAACTGGGGGCCAGGGGGAAGACAGCAGCCTAGGCTTCTGGTCGAAATCGAAAGAAATATATGTCTCCTCCACTATTTTCAAAGCTGGTCACAAGAGCTCGAGTGGGTAGTGGATCCAGTTCATGTTGCACGTGATCCCGTGACGTAGGACTTTCAAGCCCTATAGCGAAGACAGGGATGGGTCATGCCTTTTTCTCAAGCTCCAGAGTCTCTTGGCAGGGCGTTCCATATCTTCGCAAAAGCAAGGATGAAAGTCGTCATGGACAAAGTGTTCCGAGCACAACACTGTAAACGATATCGCAGCACTGCGGCCCTCAGTGCCCGGCCCTCTTCTCGCCAGATAGCCAGGATTCCAGAGTGTGGAATGCCAGCATCACCAGGGAACGCATGGAAAGACAAGTGGGTTCCTTAGACTAACGTTAGGGATGACGGTTGCTGCAAACAAGAACCCAACAGTGGTCCTTGGAAAGCATTTCGGGACTTCTTCCTTCAGAACTAGAAAAACTTGAAAATGAAAAAGGCTGGGGAGTACATACATGAACATCGCGTCGGGACCGTGAAAACACAGCCTGTCACAGGAAACTTGATCACGTCCTGCAGCAAAACCATGCATGCTGGTTGCATGCCAAGTGTGCAGCGCGTGCACAGCATGCCCCGTCTCGACCCCTCTCGCTTATTGCGCAAAGGGTCTATTACCACCTCTGGAGTGTGAACCAGACTCACGTTCCACATGCGTGGGAACCCCGCTACCATCAAGGATGAATTTGTCTTTGCAGCTCCTAACGTCAGTACTAGTCCAGGTATGTCAAGTTGGAAGTGTCAGCGAAACCCGTGTGGCCTTGTCTGATTAATGAAGAATCTATCACTCATATGGATGCAGAACGGAATGACGATGGCACTAATGAATTGTATTATCTTGCACCACACTTCTTAACCGTCCACCACTCCGCACTACGCTCTTGGCCCACTTTCAGAACACCACTCCATAGCGAGGAAGTACGTTCTTGAGTAGATAATACACATCCTCAAATAGCTGAGTTTGTCGCTACTTCTGCGTTACTCCACGCTTGGTGTATGAAAAATATTTTTATTTTGCAACGAGGGTGGCTACCCAACAGCTTGCTCGTGAACGTCCATCAAAATATCTAGAACATTAAAGCACTGAAAACGATGTGCGAATACTGCTGGAAAGCTAAACGAAGACTGAAACCCATAGTGGCTATGGGGTGAAAATTAGAAAAATCCCATTTTGCAGGTCATTTCTAGCACATAAGTGAAGCAAACATAATTGAAGGAATGAGCACATATTCAGATTGAACTCCAAATGTTTAACGCTAATGGTTACGTTATGTGCACACTGTCTAGAGCGCAATCCATTCGAGTCACAGTGAACCTTTGCAAGGGTCTCCCCATACAGGTCACTAGGAGTTCAGTGCATAATTATAATCAAGCCTACGTTGACCAGTGATTTGATACATGATTCAACGAGTGCATACAGCACACGTCACCTCCTTCTCTCGGACATACGGCGGACACGGGAGCTCGCCACAAGCTACCTCGATAGGCACAAGTGGTGCGCCATCAGTGTCCTTAAGTTCCGATCCAGGTACGCCCTGTGGATTTTCGTCAATGCAGATATTCTCGCTTCGGCCCAGACCGCGATGATGCGAACCTTGTAGGTATCCGGCATATTCCAAAGTCCAGCCACTCGGGCACTTAGGCTTACCAACCACTACGTACTGTGTATTGCGATCCCTGGCGTAACATACCGAGCAGACAGGCGTGAGCGCTTCGACATCTGCGAACGGCCTGAACTGCAGAAAGCCATCACCTTCCAACTCAGCATTGTAGATAATGCCAGTATTTTGGAAACCTGCCTGGAAAAGGTTGTACTCAGGATCATTGGGAAGGCAGATGTCGTTTGCACCGCTACCCAGTGTGTTGTAGAACTGGCCAGCAATGAATCCGGTATAAACTGGAGCTGCGCCGGTTGTTTCGTTACATGTACCTCCCCAGTGCATGTACGTCACGCCAACCGGTGCTGGTGTAGCTAAGAACTTGTCCAGACGGCCTTGCAATCGGGCTATGGGGTCAGTGTCAATGTTCTCGCATCGATCACCAAAATGGCCTTTTGAGCAGGAACAAAGGTGGTGGCCATGCTCGTGGCTGAACACACACTTGCCTGCATTCTTACAGAATGGCTGCTTGACACATCTCCCATGATGGTCGCTTGTGCACTGATGAATTCTGTAGATGTCACCGGAGTGGGTCACGTTGAACGAGGAGCTTTGCAGCAGTTTGAACAAGTCCATGAAGCTGAGTTTGAAGAGTGACTCTGCATCCATGCCGTTTTTCACGAATGCGGATACATATCTAAGTACAGTGTCTGCATCGATTCCAGCTAGTAGGAACAGATGCTCCAAACAGTTTGTAACATCAGCAAATTCATCATGACCCGCCACAGATGGAGCATCTTGTATATTGTCTAACTGGTCTAGGACATCCTGTGTGATGAAGTCTTGATTAGGATCGGCATCATCGTACAGTAAACCTCTGCCTTGCCTTTTGGCTATTTCAACATGACCTTGACCCAGCACTACATTAGATGCATCTCCAATGTATATGGCGTAACCAGTGATAAGACAAAAACAAAGAGATATGGTTGCCGAAAGTGCCATGTTGATGAACACAACTTCCACGTCCTGTGCAGCAGGTGATACCACTGAGGTCTATATTGCTTGGTTCGATCTTTATACGTTTTCTAGTGCTCCTTTCGTCCCGTAGTCTCCTCTCTCAGCCGTACTACTAGACTAGGCTACAGCAAACTGTCATAGCCGCTCAGAGCTTATTATGTACAAGTAGCTCGGAGAGCACATTGCATAGGGTGAGCATCACTCAGAGCTGGCTAAGCGATCCTCAGTGGATTTCCGGGCTCGGCAAAAAGCGCTGGGCTCAGATGTGGCCCTGAGCGATAGCCTGGAGTGCTTCTCAGCCCTTTTGTCAGATACATGCATGTATTATCATTACACGCCCTAGTTATGGAGGGGTTTGGGGATGAGAAAAAATGGCGTACCGAAAACTGCCTACCCAAAATCCCTCCATTGGAAATTTACTTGTCTCGGTTTTAGGATCATTTCCCGATTATAATGACTGGTTGCACACTGAGGATATATGGGCGAAGTGGTTGCCCGACGATGCGAATGTATTTGCTTGATGTGTTCCTAAACACGTCAGGTGATGGGGCCGCGAATCCGGCCGCAACCAAACAATAATGCACTGAAACGAAACCGATGTGCGAATACTGCTGGAAATGAAAACGAATACTGAAACACATAGTGGCTACTGGGTGAACATAGAAAAATTAATTACTTCTTGAAGGTCATTTCTAGCACACATGTGAAGCAAACATAATTGAAGGAATGAGCAACTACATTGATATTGAACTCCAATTGTTTAACGCTTGTGGGTACGTTATATGCATTGTGTATTGGTGTCTAGATCGCAATCTTTTCAAGTCACTGTGAACCTTTGCAGGGGTCTCCCGATACAGGTCATTAGGAGTTTAGTGCATAGTCAATCCTGCATTGTCAAGTGAGCTGATGAATCGTGACTCAACGAGTGCACACAGCACACGTCACCTCCTTCTCTCGGAGATATGGCGGACAAGGGAGCTCGCCACAAGCTACCTCGATAGACACTAGTGGCGCGCCATCAGTGTCCTTGAGGTCCGATCCGGGTATGCCCTGTGGATTCTCGTCAATACACATATTCTCGCTTCGTTGTCCGCGATGGGGCGAGCCTTGTAGGTAACCCGCATATTCCAGAGTCCATCCATCCGGGCACGTAGTTTTTCCTGCCACTACGTACTGTGTATTGCGATCCCTGGCGTAACACACCGAGCAGATAGGCGTGAGCGCTTCCACATCTGCGAACGGCCTGAACTGGAGAAAGCCATCACCTTCCAACTCAGCATTGTAGATAATGCCTGTATTCTGAAATCCTGCCTGGAAAAGGTTGTACTCAGGATCATTGGGAAGGCAAACATCGTTTGCACCGCTACCTATTGTGCTGAAGAACTGGCCAGCAATGAATCCGGTATAAACTGGAGCTGCGCCGGTTGTTTCGTTACATGTACCTCCCCAGTGCATGTACGTCACGCCAACCGGTGCTGGTGTAGCTAAGAATTTGTCCAAACGGCCTTGCAATCGGGCTATGGGGTCGGTGTCAATGTTCTCGCATCGATCACCAAAATGGGCTTTTGAGCAGGAACAAAGGTGGTGGCCATGCTCGTGGCTGAATACACATTTGCCTGAGTTCTTACAGAATGGCCGCTTGACACATCTCCCATGATGGTCGCTTGTGCACTGATGAATTCTGTAGATGTCACCGGAGTGCGTCACGTTGAAAGAGGAGCTTTGCAGCAGCTTGAACAAATCCATGAAGCTGAGTTTGAAGAGTGATTCTGCATCCATGCCGTTTTTCACGAATGCGGAAACATATCTAGGTACAGTGTCTGCATCGATTCCAGCTAGTAGGAACAGATGCTCCAAACAGTTTGTAACATCAGCAAATTCATCATGACCCGCCACAGGTGGAGCATCTGGTATATCGTCTAACTGGTCTAGGACATCCTGTGTGATGAAGTCTTGATTAGGATCGGCATCATCGTACAGCACACCTCTGCCTTGCCTTTTGGCTATTTCAACATGACCTTGACCCAGCACCACATTAGATGCATCTCCAATGTATATGGCGCAACCAGTGATAAGACAAAAACAAAGAGATGTGGCTGCCGAGAGTGCCATGTTGATGGTCACAACGTCCACGCCAGGTTCAGTATGTGACAATACTGAGGTCTATATTGCTTGGTTCTGTCTATATACGTCTTATAGTGCTCCTTTCGTTCCGCAGTCTCCTCTCTCACCTGTAATCTTAGACTAGCGACAATGAACTGGCGTGGCCACTCAGAGCTACGTATATCTATAACGTTATTATGTACATGTAGCTCGGCGAACACATTGCATAGTGTGAGCAGCACTCAGGGCTGGCTTAGATCGATCTTCAGAAGTTCAGTGGATTTCCGGTCTGAGCCAAAAGCGCTGGGCTGAGATGTAAGCTGGAGTGGCTCTCAGCCCTTTTGTCAGATAGATGTGTGTATCATCATTACACGCCCTTATGGAGGAGATTGGGGATGAGAAAAACGGCATCCCGAAAACTGCCGACCTAGAATGTCTCCATTCGAAATTTACTAGTCTGGGTCCTAGGATTATTTCCAGAATGTACTAACTGGTCTTTTCGACCGGTACGGCTTAACGGAATTAACAGCCATGTACTTTGTGACTGTATGAGGAACCTGTCCTTGACTGGTCTTTTAAAATTTACACTCATTTCATACTTGTTACATCTGATGAAGAAAATGCTTCAAGTTTGGTTGTTGCATTTTTCGCGAACTCTGCAAACACCAGACCCTGCACGCCATTCCTATTATTTTACGTTCATATTTCACACGCATTAAGATCATGTTTGACGCACCTATCAAGACCATGCGAGCCACATCCCACAGTCCTGATCTGATTCATGGTTTCTTCATACCGTGTAGTATGATATTAGTCGCAAAATTGCTTGTTATTCAAGCCGAAGGGCTTGTTGCCTTCATGAATTGTTGCGTTCACATTGCAATTCTATTCCATACTATCCAATACCTGTTTTTCCAGAATGTGACACAAACACAACTAGTGCCACCTCTCACTATAATGCGTGCCAGAATAGATGTTTTCCAGTGCACTCTATGCAGGTGTTTAGTGCTGTTATTGTGATTCTGGATCACCGGTAATGCAGTGAGCCTGCGACATTGTGCTTTATGCACTTCAAAGAGTGTAATTAAAGTAGTCGTTATTAATGTTTTACAAATACAGTTACACCATATCAAAATTCTAAAGTAAGATGATGACCAAATTAACACACATACATAGCTAGTGTTTTAAAGTAAAATATGCAGAAAGAAAGTCAATGAGAACTAGCAATAGTTCAATACTTCAACGTGATGTCTACCAGGTCTCACATGTACAAGAAATTGTAACATATTCGGTGGTGACTCTTGAAAAAGCGAAGCAGCAGCAAAAGATGAGATACCACGAAAGAACCCAGTGCTAGTCTATCAGTTCATTAGTCGAAGGGAATACTTGTTGCAATTATCGCGAGCACACCGCACAGGTTAATTCCTGTGTCTTGTCGAAAGGACCACAGCGAATTCCGCCGCATACCGCTTCTACTGGGTACATCTTGGAGCTTGGTGTGGCTGCACTGGTACCAGGAACTACATCAGGTGATTGGTCGACGCAGACAAGCTCTGTCCTGTACTCGTGCTTTGCTGAGCTCATCAAATAGCCATGGTATTCCAGCGTCCATTCGTCCGGACAAACGTTACGACCCGATACTGTGATTGTTGACGTGCGACCATTCGTTTGGCATACAGCGCATCTGGGGTTGGCGTTCGCTAGGCCGGCAAATATCGGGGCGTAGGCAGTAACGGTGAGTTCAGCACTGTAGATAAGTCCATAGTTTTGAATGCCGGGCTCAAACTCCAGGTATGCAGGATCTTCCGGGAGGCAATGGTAGTTTGAACCGCTGCCCGTATGGGTAGAGAGCGCACCGCCAATAGACCCAGCGAAGGCAAGCGTTGCACCTGCTGTCTCATTGCAAGTTTCCTTCCCCCATCTTGTGTAGGACGTGGTAGGCTTTGGTCGCTGATCTATCGCAAGCAACACGTTCTCTTCGAGCTCCGCGAGGCGATCCTTCACCGGGTCCTCGCACTGCTCACCCTGGAACGTCTCCGGGCACTTGCACACATGTCGATGGATGATGTCGACGTGCTCGCATCGTCCGCCATTCTTGCAGTGCGGATCCTGCACACAGGCACCGTAGCCTGTGGTGCACTCGTGAAGGCTGTACAGGTCTTGGGCGTCTGTCATGCCATAATTTGGCGTTTCCAATAGATGAACCAGATGCAAGAAGTCCATGTTGTAAAGTTCATCAGCGTCCAGTTTGTTATTTCTGAAGGCCTGGATGTAGTGCGATATGTGTGCGGGTCGAATTCCAGCCTGAATGAAGAGTTCTCGAAGGCAATCTGGCTCGCCAGTGTGTGGTTCATGAGGAAAGGGATCAGGGTACGTGTCATCATCGCCAACAGGGTCATCAGGTGGAAACAATATATCTGTATGTGCGTGGTCGTGAACATCGCTGGAAGTGGTCGGTTCTAGATGACTCGGATTCTCCGTTGTCGCTGTTGGTGCAAACGGATCGACATCCTGACCTGGATATGGAATATCTCCACCACCTGCCAACGGATCACTGGTGGGATCATCATAGTCCAAAGCACCTGGGTCGTAGTTGTAGTCATTCACTTCTTCCTGGGCAGCCTCGGCCAGGAACTTTGCCAATGATTTATCCTCATTCACTGATTTCCCAATGTTGGCACTATCACCTTCATGCAGAAAGCAGACGGTGCAACCAAACAGCACAATGGCCGTGGAAACCCTGATTGGCAACATGACAACAAGGTCAAAGCTGAATGAACGACAATACGAGTCACTTTGGTTTGTGATTCTTTATTGCAAAATGGAAAGGATCAACTCCACAAGCCAGTAAACGCCTTGAATTATGGTTGAGGTCTTTTATCAATAGCCTTAACGAAAGGGTTCAAGCAGTAACTGACGTTCGGAATGTAGATACGAGACAGCATGCACTCCAGAAAGCCATTCATCGCGCATGGTTATGTTTCGGGAACGTCTAGCAATACATACTGTGAAAGGGTTAATGATCATGTTATTGCACACATCCAAGAGAGATACGTGTACCGGTCGAACCGTGACTGTTGGGCATTTCAGTCAAGAGGTACATGTCAATATTGAAAAAGGCGTCTCCAAGCTGCTACTTAGCAAGCCGTCCATGTTTCCCAGGTGGACATAATACTCTCTAGACTTCCGGGTTTGAAAGAATGACTCAAGTGACAGCGATGTGTCTGAAACATTAATATACCTCATTACAATGTCAAAACAATCAAAGAGGAAATCGGTCATTGCCCTTGGGGCGTCCCTATATTACCGCTATCAAAAGTATTTTGGGTGAGACGGGTTATATATTCCGTCGATCAACGTAAGGACGGGGTACGGAGCCATCCAGGATCATTCACCAATATTCAGATACTTGTGGGGAGACTTGGAAGGTACAGCCGAAAATAGAGTTTTGGGCCCCACGCTCCATGGTATAGACAGCACTGCTCAATGAAATCCAGTCGCAACCTTCAAGTACGCGCTGGGCCCAGCGCAGTCCTAGACCTGCGAACACCGGGCTGTGAAATGGTGCAAGGCGCAAACGTGAGTGACGCGACTGAATTTCATTGAGCTGCTGCACTGTACATGCATACTCACACTCGTTGTCCTGTGTTTATGTACAGGCCTGCTTTTTCGCACTCTATGTAATGCAACAGGCCTAGACCAGGCACACAGCCTATCAATTTAATCTACTGCAACATGTTACAATATGCACAGGTAATTAATTGTCGTGTCGTTACCCCAGTTGTACCCTTTCAGGGCGTTTTGGTTTTCAAAAACAAACATAAAGCGGGTTCCTTCACTGAGACAAGTACCACTTGAGCTCAATGGGTGAAGGGGACGCAGGTGGCCCAAGCGGAAACGTTTCAATTAATCTTTTTGAATCTCAGTCCTGGCTACTGGTAAACATTTTCTGGCCAGCGAATAGAATCGAGTCTCGCCAGTCGCCATGTGTATTAGACGGGGTCAACGGCTTGAAGACATGGAATAGTACTGCTCCAACTCGCGGCACGCACGCAGATACAACAGAAGTCAAGTTCTTGTCCGTACGGAAGGAGATACCTAACAGTACCATCACTGTTGTCACAATGAGCTGAGGAAAATTAGGCTGGCCTTGGACCAAAACGTGCGTGTCTCGGCGGGAGGCAAGTGGTAATAGTTCGCGTTTCCTTCTGGAGTTCAAATCTCTGTTTGGCCTGCGCGACACAAAATAATTATGATGAGCTCTCAACTAATGCGGAAAGCCTTTGTTCAGTGATCTCAAATTAGTTACTAATTGAGTTCAGTGTCAGAGGGTCACAAGTCGAGATGGTGCAACTGTGAAGGTCTTGGGTGTATTTCAATATTAATTGACTTTCCGGAAACAAAGATCCACACAGCGGTTCTCTGATGCAGACAGTGCAGCCAAATCATGAACCCTGAGTCAGCCATAAACTGACCAGTTGTCCTAAACTGCCTATCCACAGGAATTAGCCAGCACTGGGCGAAATTTACTTACTCGTGTACATGTAGGTGGCTATGTACTGTATAATTACAATACATATAGGATATCATACAGACTGTGGAGATCCTAGAACAGATAAACACATAATTGTTGTAAACGGTGGCTCTACTTGATGCTAGCACACATCACTATCAAGGCTCGTTGCTTCGTCATGGCTTCCAAGATGCACAAATGTAGTGCATGTGAAAAAATGGGCTTTGTGATTTTTGGATCTACATGTACCAAAAGAAAATTTTTGATCCCATACATGTATTTCCATTTCCCAAGGGGTCAGTTGGGTGGGTGTGGACGACATTTTCAATTAAAAGTCAAGAACGTGCTTTGTTTCCCCAACAGTACATACATGTAGTTATGTTCTCCTTCACGTTTTCCTTCACGTTCTTCTTCACGTTCTCTGCGCCATGGCTGCCAAACTGCCTCTCCTACTCAGACTTGGAATAGTTCATACCATTACTGACCGAAGTGGGCACTATGTGACATGACCACGCCACGATTAAAACCCATACCGCTTGAATACTACCAACAGCTGTGTCGTCTAGTCAGTAGAATGTACAAAACGCATACAATTCGCCCGATCCTATGCTATAGACATACGCATCACACTGAACACACCGACACATGTACATGTATATTATGCATACTGAAGGTTCCGTCCCTTTCCGAGGACGTTGATTGATGCAAGTGCTTACCGTTCACGTGAGTCGCCCAGATACCCTACGAGTATGTTCCAGCGAGAATGTACCATGACTCAGGTAACTTTCCACTTCCCCATACCACCATATCACATACGTCCGTCTATCGTGTACTTTCCGATAAAGTTCTCCTATACATGCATTAGGGATTGGGTTATAATAGGACAGAGGACACTGGAACACTTCATCATTCATAACATAGTGCGATCGCGGCCTTGTGGTCTTCTCCGCCGTCTTTCCGTCACAACGCAGCAATGTCTTCCACTTGGCAACTATTCTTCCTGATAATACTCGGTTTCTGTTATGTCTTCTCAGCGACGATGGCGGGCAGGTCCTCTCTTAAAGAGCTAGATGCTAATGCCGGGCATGAAGACGAGACATATCCAGATGAGCCTATTCATGGTGACCCTCATACAGATGAGCCTATTCATGGTGACCCTCATCCAGATGAGCCTGTGGACTGCTTAGAGCTGCTGTTAACCCGCGCTGACGTCCGCAAAGCCTTCATTCCGGCTTACCTGGAGTCATTTCGGCGAAATGGGCTGGATTCTACCGCCCTGTTCAAGCTCTCCTTCCCCGATCTTGTGGAAATGCTGCAACGCAAGGAATTTGACATAACGTACGCCGGAGATGTGTATCGTATTCATGACTGTACTACCGGACGAGGACACTGTGTGCTTGATCCGATCTGTAAGAATGGCGGAAAGTGTGTGTTCAAAGCAGAATCCAACAGGCATGCATGCGAGTGTCCCAAAACCTTCCACGGCCATCGTTGCGAAACGAGCAAGAAGGATAGACTTTCAGATGTTGAGAGTATGATCAAGGGCCTCGAGAAATCGGCGGTCGACTCAGTTGGTGCCACATACACTCGTTGGGGTAAGTCGACGTGCAACGATACAGCTGGTGCAAGTCTCGTCTATACGGGATTCATGGCAGGCGCATTCTACACGTTCGTCGGCGGCACGACGGACTTTGTTTGTCTTCCCTTCGACCCCATCTACTCTGACTCCGCTCCAGGAGTTCAAGGACTGTCAAATATTTACGTTGCTGAATTTGAAACGCTTACATTTACGCCGTTCAAACCTCTGCATGACCGGCATCCACAGTGCGCTGTGTGTAGAACCAGCGGAAAGGCGGCGGAGTTTATGCTGCCTGCGCGCCGGTCATGTCCCGACCAGTGGACGCTTCAGTACGAAGGATATCTGATGACATCACATCGGGGTCACCGCCGCACCAAGTACATCTGCGTGGACGGCGAGCCGGACGTGGACCATAACCCACCTTTCAGTACGAATGGAGCGCTGCTGTACATGGTGGAGGCCGTTTGCCCAACGGAAATGCCGTGCCCACCATATGACAAAGAGAAAGAAATGACATGCGCTGTTTGTGCTCGCTGATTGTTTCACCATCACACCACATTGACAAATACGAACGTAACAGACCCGTTGACAATTGAACATGCGTTTTGGAAGGGTCTTTGTGTGCTTGGTCGCTTCTTTCCTATGATGATTCCATTATAAATTGCCCGTCAAGCGCTTGTGAACACTAATTCTTCTCGCGGCTCCATATTATCGTGTATGTGCATGTAGCTGTAATTTTAAACTCACAAAGTCTGGTTAGACATGTTTCTAATATTGTAGATGTCGATCAATTAACACAGCGACGTCTGAACACTCGGCTATTGAAATTATTTTGAGATTTTCGGGAACGACGGGAAGTCAATTAAACAGTTGGTGGACCAGAATGAATGCATGAGCACACAGGTTAACAGTGCTCGCATTTGGATTGGTTTTTTTTGCCAGGTAAAACTAAGTTTAGACTGGCGAACATGCTATTCATGGACCATGGCAATTTATGAACCAAATCAAGCGTATTATGGTAAAGTAGACAGTCATATCGCTCCACGGTGTTACCTATTCAATAGAAAGTAACACTGGCACACACACACACACACACACACACGGACACACCGGTTCAATTCTTCAACCCCACACAATACAGGCATAGTCCGTCCAACCTTGCCACCAGTCCAAACAGGGCACATACATGTATATGTACATGTATACAAAGGCAATTATCTCCCATGTACATGTAGATGTACTGAAAAATTTGGTAAGACAGAAAAAGGACCAAAGAGCTAAACGTTACGCTACAATATCCACTAACACCACCAGTTACTAAACAATCAGCTCATGCAATAACATTGCACGACACTGACGGACGATACTGACGTTCTACAACTAACTGGCTAAAAAAAGTTTAATGTTTTGGCCTGTGATTCAGCGCAGGCGGGCACGATAAAGAAAATATTGCTGTTCTGGCAGTGTATCATGCGATCACTGAGCATTCTCACTTTCTCAGTGTCAGTGATTCTGGCCTCTGCCTCTGGTTCTAGAGCTAGCTTACATGAAGATCTACATGCATGATCACAGTGTTTGTTTAGCATCACACCATCAATACTGAACTGTGGACAGCCAAGTACAGAGAACGCCTGAACTGACAGACTGTATGGTCTTCAAAAAAATTCATCCATGAAATACAATACCAGTATAAATGGAGAATGTTCGTTCGAGTTCGTTCGTTAGTGTGAGAGTTCGTTCGTATTCAAAATTCGATGTTCGTTTCACCCCTAGTTTTGGCCCAAACCACGACTGCCATGCTCAAAGCAGGGCGGTTGGACAGCCTGCAGCCTTGCAGGAGAATCGTGCCGACTAGTCAAGTTCCTGAAGGTTAGAGCTGTACAATGACTGCATTGGTAGATGGTACCAGGAGGCGATTGTCTCACTAAATTGACAAGTTCCGCATTATACGAACATGTAGCTCTACTTTAATATGCAAACAAGTTCGAACCTTCTGGGTGATCCCAATAACACGATTACGACCAAATTATCATGGTGTTGTAAACATCACGGTTGAGGTATGCGTGATATCTTGCCAGTGATTACGTTCACTGGCATACAATAGTCATGTACAATGTAGCACTGGGCATTGTGTTAGCCAGGAAGTGAAAAGTGACCGGCTCCTGCTCAAAAGGTCATTGTCGTGATCGGATGTGAGAACATTGACTCCAATCCGAAAGGCAGATTACAGGGCCGTCTCCACCACAACAGTGCCAGTAGAGGTTTATGTACAATCACTGGCGAGGCAAGTGCAATGCGTCAACTGGTGCCAGTCCTGTGTACACTGGATGAATGTTAGGGGATGTTCTTTATGTACAGGTGTACATGATTGTGTATCCTTGGTAACCAATGTTGGAAAAAGGTCACATGTCAATGACTTTTCTGTCTTAGGAACAATGTGATAAGCTTCAGTGTCTCACTACTAGGCTTTGAAGTTGGAGTTGGAGGTGTAGTGAAAAGACGAAACGTCTACCATGGAGCTTCAAAGTTATGAAAAACAAATTCAATGTGAAATGTTCATGTACAGACAGTGAGTTCCCTTCAGGAACGGACACGATAATTTACTTTTTTTACTTTCTGACTTACACACAGCCTTTTCAATCTGTATCAAAACTGAATTCGGGAATGATGCTTTCCCCATTCACACCCACAAGCACAGCAACACACAAACACACTAAACTGTGGCTCAACTGCACCATCCACACATGTAATGAAGAAAGGATTTACGCAAGAGGTACACAAAAGGAAGTAAATAGGGCAGTTTAGGATGGAGATTTTGGCAAACATACCTACTTTTGGTATCTAAATGGTCCTGAATTCAGTGTAGCTTGCAATCCCAGAAGGGCGCAATGCTATTGCTGGCCTTCATCAGTAGGCAAACACAATTCTACTAAACCCAATCCATGTACCATATTGTTCACCTGAGGATGTGAAGAAACATGGCTTTCTCAAGGCCGCACCATACCTGCCATTACAATATCTCTTTCTCCAAACCCGAGGGCCACACAGTTGGAAGCCTCACTCGTTTTTTCTCACCTCGCCCCCCCCCCCCATGTATGTATCATGTACCGTGTATACGCCCGTCGCAAGAGAAGCACGCACGTCTGCAAATGCACTGGATGTGCACCCACAGATTTTCTCTTATACCTTGTTATAGCAACGATAGCGAACAAGATCTGAATGAGACAGATCAAGACTTGCGCCAGATAACTGTCTAATCCACACAACTGGCGAAGCCATGTGAATCGACCACCAATGCACACCTGGTCTACACCACACGGAGTACATCGGCATAAACGGCCAAGACAGTTACCTATGCACACCCTACACTATCTGGTGTAGACGGCATGCTGCTTTGATAGAAGCAGACACTAGATGCACTGGTACCTTGAAGCGAAATTGGAGTTACTTTACCAACCAGCCTCAGCTACTGAGCACTGGGAACCGAGAGCCAACAGACATACCAACAACCTTAGCCATGAAAGCTATTGTAGTTGCCCCCCCCCCCCCCACACACACGTGCTTATGCATACCCCAAGCCACGCACTCGTCAACCTGTTATACTACAAGCCAAATGCGAGAAAAGAATTTCTTGACAGAATCAAAAAAATCAAATTCTTGTGTTATTGTATGAAAGTGCATATACATTGAATGGGAAATGCAAAATTTAAAAACATTATGGGCTACCACCGGAGGGTTAGCAAAGAATAGGCTTCACTTCAGCGAATCAGCTAAACTTGCAATGCACGTACCGGGTTTATGTAAACCGTAACTATCTGTGCACACCTTGGGTTTAAGACCCAGTAGCCCAAATTTACTATAAGATAAGAGAAACTCAAAACCTGCGAAACCTTTCTGAAATGCCTGCTGACGAAGCTATAGATGTTTGAGTCCCTGTGCTGCGCTTCACATGGCACTACACAATATTGTGTTAACGCAATGACTAAAGTCACTACGCATGGAAACATACGGACAGCAATTTGAGTCAGGAATGTGTGCTGGCAGTACTTCCATCGAGCCGCATGTCTGTAGACTCTAGACGTAATCCTAATGGTAGTCATGACAACAGCACATGAAACCACCTACATGTAGGCAATGCTAAAATATTATAGAGCAAATGAATCATATATACTCTGGCTGTGAGCTGCTGGCAAGATTGAAGGTAAGTCTCTGAGTCCTATTCCAGCGCAACGCCACACTAGCTACGTTTGTGGAAAATAAGACCATGGGCACATCCTGCGCTCTATGGCTCTCCAACAAACCTCTAGTAGCTGGTTATGATGGTGTGAACTCCATAGTAGCGTTATGTGTGTGTTGACAATGGGAGGGCAAGATATCCCGGAAGGCAATCTTAGCAGCATCAGCACTGATACGCTCGAAACCAATCCTACTCTATTATTAGACTAATAATTCCCTAGTTCCATCAAGAGGAAAATATAACGCCGATGCGACAATTACTGGATATATATTATACAGGTACAATTCGGTTATGTTCTTATATATCGCGTACTCTATATTCCAAACGCTTCAGCTTCTATCAAACCAAAAGCCCAAATACTAATCCATTATTATATACAAGGGGTTTGAAACAAACCAATTTACCTTGTTGCCTGGCCCGCCGGGAAAATCACATGCTGCGTGGTTGCTCAAGAGTAGAGCGTTTGACGCCAGCATAGTGTCCATCAGCGTGACCACTATCTCTTGCCGTAGGTAACTGGTCCATTTTAGAATCAACTCAATGCGCCGAACGACTTCGGTTGCGGCGCAACGTCTGTGCTCGGGAGCGGGTGGCTCTTGACTGTGCAGGTCTCACAGGTGCTTCTGACGTAACCCATGCGTAGCCGTTGCCATTGACAACGTCATATATGGACGAAATAGTGGTGAAAGCCATTGATACTAGCCACCTCAAAATGAAGGGGAAAAGTGTACTGAAGTACCAAATGATGACTGGAAGGAAGGTTAAGGCCGCGGTTGCAGTTGCAATCTCGGAAATCAAATTGAACAGCAGAGTCTGCGAGATCACTGATGGAATATCCGAAGCTCTAAGCTTACCGGTGGTTATCTCGCGGAATAGGAATACTATCAGCGGCAACAATATGGTGGGACCCATCAATGCAATGTTCCGTAGAATGATGCGTGGCAAAGTTTCCACCGAGGGCACTTCCAGTCCAACCCAATGTGGCTTGCTCGAATTGATTCCCACGTTCTCCGATGGAACTCCTTCAGACTTCGCTTCAGGAATTCGTTCGAGGTAATTAGTCACCCACTGACTTATAAGGCGGAACTCGAAGAGACATTTTTCAATAATCGTGATGATCACTGAGTTTTCGGGATTCTCCACCGGCTCTGAAGAGAACTGGAAGACCTTTTGTTCTGGACAAGTACTCTCGGTAAACATAATACTGGGTTGCTCCACGATATGCGTCTTCCCTGCCATAACTAAGGCTCTCGTTTCACGCGGAAACTCATACTTCGCATATTTGAGTTCACGCACAATATTGATGCGTGCCTCACCGATTAAACTGAGCTCCTCGCCTACCATTGACCGAACGTTGCTGTCAGCAAGAAAGTCGGCCCAGTAAGAAATAGAATTTTCTATGTTTGCAAGACTGACAGCATGAGCATGGGTTGCATCTAACCCCGTCTTCCTCTCTCGTGTGTGGCGTGTTTCTAGTTGCGAGAAAAGCACCCGATTGTTGTGCTGGAGCACGCTGTTCTCGTGGGTCAGTTGAGCGATTTCGTTCTCCTTTGTTGCCAACTTCTGGGTGAGCGCTTTCTTATCTTTGGATAGCTTGCGCTTTCTTTTGGCACATGACTTTTGACTAGCGTTCTTCTTCTTGATCGAAACCTTTGCTGCAGCTAATTTTTTCTGACCAAGAGTATGCGAACGCATGCACCTTTGCAGCTTTCGACGATTCCGCTGACCATCCACCCTTGCAAAGTGCAGATGACCTCTGCAGCTTATGACGTTGGTAGCTACTTCATTCCTCTGCGCCTTACATTCCAACAATGACGCGTTGAGAGTGGAAACTTGCGCTTTCTTATCTTTGGACAGTTTGCGCTTTCTTTTGGCACATGATTTTGGTGTAGAGTCCTTCTTCTTGATCAAAACCGTTGCTGCAGCTAACTTCTTCCGAGCAAGAGTATGCGAACGCAGGCACCTTTCCAGCCATCCACGTTGCTTTTGAACATCAACCGTCGCAAGTTGCAGGTTACGTATGCAGCTTGTGACGTTGGTAGTTAGTTCGTTCCTCTGCACATTGCATTCCGAGAAAGATGCGTTGATAGTAGAAACTTGTGATCTGAGCTCACAAACAAGACAGGTCTGACTGGATATGGCGGGCTGCTGCATTTCATGCCATCTCTGTGTATTGTATTGCTTTAGGAGTTCCACGAGCGTTTTCCTCTCGTGCTGGCAGTCCGCCTCTCGCTGCTCCCAGGATTTCGCACCCGTGACGTTACTCATGGGCGCTTGCTGCGCATCATCGATCTTGCTTTTGGCGTGTGTATGCTCACCTGAATGCTGGTCGGTGCAGAGGCATTGCTGGTTCTCATTCGACGGCCACACCACCTTATAAGACAGCAATGAGACAGAGGACACAAGAGCCAGCCCAAGGCATATGACAAGAGCAAACAGCCAGTTGGGAATTCTTTGCTCACCACGGAACCAATGCTTCTTGTGCTGCTCTCCAATTGCTCCAGGCAGTTCATCGGCATGGCTGTCATTAAGGACGTATTTGGTTTGCTTCGCATATGTTTGGTCCGACCAGTTGTGCTTGTCACGTTGATACGCACTGGTGTATGGCTCCTGATTTTGTGTGCACCGCTCCGGGTGCACGGCTGGTGACTCCTTGACGGCTTTCATGCTCACATGCTGTGGTTGATCATCCTGTAGATGGGACATAAAAGACGGTACAGGATACTAATTATCCTCGTCTATTCCTATTTTTATCGATAAGAAGGAGCCTGCATGCCTGATAAGAAGGAGAAGGAGCCTATCTCAATAATGCAATGACAGATATCTGTTACACTGTACGACTGTAAGTGTCCTCGACATGTGTTAATGGGCCAAAAAACCGGAATACACTAACAACAGCAACACTAGAACCAGATACGTATATACAGTCAACCATCACGGTCACACCACCACCACCACAACCACCACCACCACCACCACCACCACCACCATCACCACCACCACCACCACCACCACCACCACCACCACCACCACCACCACCACCACCACCACCACCACCACCACCACCACCACCACCACCACCACCACCACCACCACCACCACCACCACCACCACCACCACCACCACCACCACCACCACCACAACCACCACCACCACCACCACCACCACCACTATCACCACCACCACCACCAACACCACCACCACCACCACCATCACCACCACCACCACCATCACCACCACCACCACCACCACCACCACCACCACCACCACCACCACCACCACCACCACCACCACCACCACCACCACCACCACCACCACCACCACCACCACCACCACCACCACCACCACCACCACCACCACCACCACCACCACCACAACCACCACCACCACCACCACCACCACCACTATCACCACCACCACCACCACCAACACCACCACCACCACCACCACCACCACCATCACCACACCACCACCACCACCATCACCACACCACACCACACCACCACAACCACCACCACCACCACCACCACCATCACCACACCACCACCACCACCATCACCACACCACTACACACCACCACAACCACCACCACCACCACCACCACCACCACCACCACCACCACCACCACCACCACCACCACCACCACTACCACTACCACCACCACCACCACCACCATCACCACACCACCACCACCAATCATGAATGAAATACACAATTTTTTAATTCACGATTTACATGAGCAGGCATTTCCCTAAATCGGCTGGCCGAAATATTCGAATTTACAAATTTCGCAGTGAATTTGGCGAAAATCGATGTTTCAGTGCCTCTATAGCGTGCATGTAAATGTACAAGTTACTGCGAGCCGTCGTTTCAAGTACTGCTTTTAGCCGAGCGTTCTGACTCTGGAGCTCAAAATATGGCCGAATTTGGACATTCTCTCAGCCGATCGAAAAGCCGATTAAGCGAAAAACCGGGCCTATTTGGGAAACACCTACATGTATAAACATGAGAAACAGACTGAATTTGCCGCATCTTTAGGGACACCACCATCCTCAGGCACATACATGTACATGTACATGTACATGTACATGACTTCAGCTTTTCAAGCGGTGCGAGTTGATTAGGTCAGACCCATCACAAATTGCGATTTTCTCAGAATATTCACTGGCTTGAGGGAAAGACGCAAACGGGAAAGGTCTGAGGGAATATTGACTGTCACCACCAGGAATCGAACCTGGGACCCTCGAGAATATCTTTCCATTCAATATACCACAAGGCGCAACAACAGAGACTAAGAACCTTCTCGTGACTCGGAGTTTCGGGTTCAAAAACACTCATCAGACGTTCTACCTTGTGTAGTGCGCTCTGCCCTTGTTAGAATATTGAGCACTTTTTGCAGCCAGACCCTCAGACACTTTGTCCATTCAATAGTTTCTGAAAGACGCACCCAGTGTCTTGCGAGTGCTCAATACCATCGAGGCAGAGCGTATTGCATACTTGTAGAACATGGTACGCATTGGAACAACCTAGCCCTGCTCCGCAGTCGTACTCTGTCCATTCAATATCCTGGTTTTTCACACACATCTTTTCGGCCAGTACCTTTGACCTCCGCTGAGGGGACCTAACAAGGTCGAAACAGCTAGCTAGCTGTCCGGAGATTGAGAACTTTCGCCATGGTTGGCTATAAAAACCCTGCAGTCGCCATGCAAAGTGGTCATTGGCTACCCCAGCCATGTATTGCTTGGAATAAAATAAAATAAAAAATACATGTACATATGCATGCATTAGGTCTAACAGGTGACTGAAGGACCTGTAAAGTTGTAGTCTTCTATTAATTTTTGGTTTCACTATAGTTATAAGACAGTGTACGTACCATCATTTTGAGTTCTTGTGTCTCCTCCCCCAGCCTGTGGGCTGGAGGATAGCGGGGTTTTTTGGTCGTTTGCGCTGATGTTAGATCTTAGTACCGCCCAGCTAGACGTCTCAAAATGAACCAGCTTCTAAGATTATGGCTAAAGGAATACGACAGGCTCATAGGACCTGATTGTTTCTCCACTGCCTATTTGCTACCATCTATGGGAGATGTGCCAAGGGTAGTGTCCGAAGCTGCCCATCAACGCTAGAGGAAATGTTCCTGGGATAACATCGCGAACTTGACTTGGAATCGCTGTTGACTGTGATTTGCTGCCCACCCTACAGCACACCGACGGACCCAAAAGCGAAAGTCGAGTAGGTTTCGAATCAGGGTCTGTGATGCTGTGCTTAGGTCCATATGCACAGATGTACCACAGTGCCGAACACAGTGAGACAGGGCCGTTTCTTTCGCCCACACTGCCATACTGTACTGCATGCGAATCCCAGTGTAGGCAGCACCTGAGGCAGAGAAGCGTGAATTTACCCATTGGCATTGCTACATGATTGTGTTGGTTGGCATCTCACAAGGACTACGGCGACCTGATACGAAGCATATATTAAATCAAGACGCCAAGATTCAGGTTGGGGTAGGGGAAGTCCCAACGCACGGTCTAGACAGTCCCAGATTGAATTACCTCAGACCTCGTGCTGGTTCTCGCGTGAGGCATGGCATGCGAAATGACACCTTCTAAACCGGTTGAAGGCGGTTGGTGACCACATTAAAATATTTTGACAGCGCATGTGTGGGTGATTATTGACAAGGTCGGAACATTGCATTATCGTTGTGTTGCAGAGACAAAGTTCGTTGTAGAGCCTGACAATACAATCTAGAGGCTCTCAACCCAGTGCACCTCGCAAGGCCTACATACATAATGTACACGTCGAAGTACAATCATGCGCATGTTTGTGTCGTACCTCTGAGCTCCACTGACGAGACCATTTTGGCGAAGATAACAGGGTCGAAACAGCTAATTGTCTGGCGAATGAGTGTATAATTGGATGTGCATGGGAATGTTTGGCCAATGATGATCGAGTGTGGCACGATTATGGCATGGTAGATGCGCATGCACCAGGCAAAGTCTCAGTCAGTCTGAATGACGTACAGTGTACCAAGAAACTACACCGTACATGTACATGTACTTCAAGATCAAGAGAGGTACGTGTACATGATATGTACCCGATGCTGTAGACGGCAAGCTGTTTCGACTATAAAGGCCTCATCATATGTACATAATACATAACTGTACCATTCACATGTAGTTTCCCACATACAGACCACCAGTCGTACAACAGAGATCGTTGCTATCAGTGAGGCCATTCACTTTCAACTCACCTGATGGGATCTACAACAAGAATACTTTTAGTAGTCGATACAATTGACTAGCAGAGTTTTAGTGCCTGTAATTCCCGTACTATACGGTCCCTTTGTTCTGGCGACATAACCGTCTGGGTGCATCACAGGTGATACATACATGTACACGGGCAATAGTATAAGAGAAGACATAGCAGGTGCTATTGAGACAAACATGTGAGATAATGATCTCAGTCACGGTTGTACACAACAGAAGGAGAAAATCTACCATCTTTTTGCTACTGTATGACAGTGCGGGAGACAACTATTGGCAACAGTTACAATGAACATTGCTACATATTATGCATACATGTGTGCTCTGTGCCGCGCTGATGAGTTCAAAAAGAACGAAACAGCATGCTGGCCGCAGATTGAGTGTATGTACATGTATGTATGTATGTACATGTATGTATGTATGTATGTATGTATGTATGTAGTTTTGCTGGGATGCATGAACAGCGTTGCGATTGGGAAAAGCAATGTCAGATCATGGAGCAACACAAATGCAGGTTAACATACATTATTCATTCAAACAGAAGCATGTGGCCCGGACATATCTCCACAGAAATGAAATTTTGCCTCATGTCAAGAGTGACGGAACGGCATTGTTATCCACAAGGTCACTTAGTAGTATCATATTCTCAATACTGCTCCGCCAAAGCTTTAGTGGGAATTGAAATTATAATTCACGATTAAAAGCGAGCTTGCACTCCCTCGCAAGCACATGTGCGTGAGTACGCGCACGCACACACATTGTAACTTTAAACAAAAAACATCAGTCACTGCACTTCCAGCCTCAGCGTGTCCCCCCCCCCCCCCACACACACACATGTACATACACATCCATGCGATTTCAGGAGAGTGAAGCGCTTCACCAGAGAGTGGAACTTGTGATAGAAATTCAGAGATACAAATATTTAAGCACCACAACACGTATCATCAGAATGTAAGTGCTAGCAAAACATCAGAGATAGGAATGCAAAATTTACACATTATGGACTGCCACCGGAGGGTTAGCAACGAATAGATCAAAATCTAAACTTGCAATGCACGTACCGGAATTTTCGAAAACCTAACAGTGTGTGCACACCTTGGGCTTAAGGCCCAGCAGCCCGAAAAATTATGTAAGAAAAAATGATAAAGGAAATGGAGAATCTGGGCTGATACCCATAACTATGATGTTTGTTCTGAAAGACTCGTGACTGGAGATGATATCTCCAGAGGACAAAGAGAGGGTATAGCAAGAGATATCGTAGAGATAACCTACTTGGAAATCATCAAGGTATCGTAGAGAATGGTGTGTCAAAGGTCTCTCACCGGGCCCAACTGAAAACGTGAGTGTACAGTCAAGACTGACTGGAAGATGTCCAGTGACTATGGCAATGTATGCTACATATGCCTGTCCCTCTTGTGTGTGTCACAGGAAAAGGAGAGGGGATATGAGCTGAATATATGGGTTGCCTGGGCGCAGCGCAAGGCATTTAGAGCCTGAAATGATCATACGGGGTGAGAACTTGCGGAAAACCGCACAAGTTCTGAAGGCAAAGCTGTCAGATGGAAAATGGTATTTCCATGCTTCGATAGTTGTATGTGGCCCTATTAGTAAGGGAATAGAACTTGGGATGATAAGGTGGGACTGGTCCCAGACGCCAAAGGCGCATAAACAAACATACTAAGCATTTAGACCAGAAGTTATTCTCCTACCGAACTAATTTCAGGTAGTCTGGCTAAATGAATATATATATACGAAGTCTGAAGAAAATGTTGAACGGCCTCTGCTGGGATGACGACTACACCATAGCTCAGTGGTTAGAGCATCGCTGGCTACAAGCGAGAGTCCCTGGTTCGAGTCCTGGTGGTGACAGTCAATTTTTTCTTCAGACTTTTCCCGTTTGTCTCTTTCCCTCAAACCAGTTAATATATATGAGCCCCAGCCAGCAGAAACCTGAACATGTGTAATTTTTTCAAAAATTATTTTTTTGCTCGAAATTGATTCTACACTATTAATCATTCAAGTTATCAAGTTTGGTGACAATCTGATAAGCGAAAGCAAGGAAAATAGAGTTTGAAGTCACACAGGTCAAGATTCCGTACAGTTGGCACAGCATCCATGCCCAGTGACTCAATGCAAGTTGATCCTACAGTTTCTGATTGTGATGTGGAACAGGTACATGTAAGTAAATGGAATGCAAGTCAGGCTTGCCCTCTTGGTGCTGCAGGCATGAGTAGTTCAGAAGTGTGACGATATTCCGTATACATGTACACCACTACCTTCTTTACAACGCCAGAGTGCAAAACGATGATTGGTGGCTGGCCTTCCAAAATGTGTGCAGGGACCTCTGTGGTGGCAGTTTGAGCATTGTCCCAAAGCTTGCCATACTGATAGATGTACTGACCAATACCACTGACATCCACTCCCTTGCACACTTTCACTCAGACCATGATTTCAGCATAATTGTATTTCAATGATATGAGCGAATACTCGCGTTTTGTAGCACGTGAAGATGTTGCCCCAAAGCGTTCAGCCGGTTTGACTTTTTAGGGATCCCTTTTCTCAGCACAGGCAGCAGCCAGCTTGGCGTCGTCTGGTAAGGTAGAGTACTGATAATACTACGCTCTGTTTTGCGCCGTGAGAAGCCCTCCATCAGTGTCTGCAACATCATTGTTGTCGATGTAGAAATACGGATCGCTCAGCGTCGACATTCAGCTTCTCCTCGCCGTCGCTATTACTCCAGCACTCACTATCGTCGCCACCAGTATCCAGTGTCGATTTTATGAGGGCTCTTCGTTGCTATGCATATGAGACTCGCCACTGCTGGACAAACTCAGCGAGATCGCCACCAGAGAAATAATTCCGATCGCGAACTAACTTTCAGCGCCGATTCGTACAGGGAGTCTCACGCTGACAACTCTGGACCTAAGTCCTTGTCGCGACACCTGTCGCCATCGCTGTGTCGAAACTCAACCTCCCTGTGACGAGCTCTCAAGTAGCGCTGAAATCAATTGACCAGAGACATTTGAAGACACTTGAAACTCCTTTGACAACAAAGACACCCACTCGATCGAAAAAGAATCTTCAAAAGCCAGCTCACTGCGCGTCCCAAACTTTGACGTCACATTTTGATGATTGATATCAAGTACACAAGTGCTGGTTTTCGCAGGCCGGGGCTCATATATATATATATACATGTACATGAATTTGGCTACATGAATATGTACATCTATACAGGTAAGAAGAAGTTTACCTTGTTCTCCATGTCCGGCGTCTTGAAAGCAGCTTGAAGATGCCAGCGGCGAATCACACTTTAGCCAGCCTCTCCTACTGCAACAAAGCCATTGCAAAATGCAATTCCTTTCATACGGAAGGATGTGGATCATCCCGTACTCTCATCCTTGCTTGCCACCTGGACCTGTGCCGCATCGGTACTACTTTCGGCATGGTCGTGAGATGGGTCATCGTCAGATTTCGTTTGGATGGCATTCAGCATAATATATGAATATTCGTAGTCCGAATCTAATGCAGTTTTGATGGTTGTGCATAGAATGGACAGTAGCCATCTCAGCATGAATGGGAAGCGGGTGGCACTCCAAAGGAAGATTGGCATGCCAGTCGTAAAACTGGCCAATACCGCCATGTCGTGGAAGAGGCGAAACAGAAGTCTCCTTGTGATGATTTTGGGGATCTCAGAGACTTTGCACTTTCCGGTGGCGACCAAATGGCATAAAAATGCCAAAAATGGAACCAGTATGTACGGTCCCATTATCACAACATTTTTCATCAGCACTGAAGGCAGGTCCATGAAAGTTGGAACCTCCCATCGCACATACACAGGTTTTCCGGAATTTGCAGCGTGTTCCCTTGCGAGATGTGGAGGTATTAAATCCAGTGTTTCTTGGTCATAGAAGGTGCGAATTATCCATTCGACGATTGGATAAACCATCCGTTCTAGACGGTCATTGTGAGCGATGATGTCTTCAGGGCACACGTGCATGGTGAATGGACGCTTAGCCTCTTCGCTGATCAGCAACTTATCTGCCGTGACTACTGCTTCCGTCGTGTTCGGGAACTCATAGTTCATGTTCCTCAGTGTGTTAACAATCCGGATTCGGTGATCGCCGACATCTCTCAGCATGTCACGTATCAGAGCTCTTGCTGTGCGGTCTCCAGCCCATACGGTCAGACGCGCAAGTTTATCCTCATAACAAGCCAGGCTGACTGCACAATCATGAGAGGAATCCAAATACGGCTGCAGTGAGGCCCTATGCTGTTGGTGGATATGCGCAGACAAGACCTGATTGTTTTGCTCCACTCGGTGTAGGCTCACAGTCAGGCGAGCAATCACTCGTTCTTTGGCAGCCAGTAGCCCACTTAGAGCTTGTTTGGCTTCCACATGCCGGCTTTTCGCTTCCATGCATGATTCCTTGGCGTCGTCCTTCTTCTTGATCAAGCCTCTAGCCGCTGTTAGCTTTTGCTGATAGAGCGGAAACAAATGCATATGCTTCTGTATCCAAGCCTTGCTCTGTAGACCTTGGATCCTGGCATAATGTAGATTGCCTATACAGGTTACAAAGTGTGTAGTGGTCTCACTCCGCTGGGCTGCGCAGTCCATCAACGACGTGTTCAGGGTGGTCATCTGTGCTCTGACTTCGCACAGCTGCAATGCAGCCGACTGCTGCATTGCATGCGATGTTTGTGAATAGCACTGCCTCAGGTCAGCTTGCAGTCCCTTATTCTCCCGATGGTTCTCAGCCGCTCGTTCCTTCCAGATGTCTCGCTCAATCTTCAGGGCTTTGTTGTCACTCAGCAAAACCTGGGAGTCATTCTTGCAATGCGTTACTGAATCAAACAGCCTCTTGTTCTGTGTCTGTTGGTCATCAAGTCGATCTTTGAAGTGGCCTCCCTTCATTGTAAGTCGAAGGTTATCATCTCTCAGCTGGTGATTCTCATTTCTAAGATGCACCGCGTAACCTGCCACCAGTACGATAATGAACAAGCAAAGACCTGCAGCCAGTGAGGAAGGGGCAGGTGTTTTCAGATAAAACCAATCCAGAATTCTGTGCATTACTCCAATCTGCTTTACATCCTTGTGTCGGCCAGGTGGGCTTGAAGCATCATCCCGAGGTGTGTTAAGGTCTGGCGTGCTACGCTCCGGGTACGACGTTGACAACTTGTTGTACCCATCAGGACGATGATCCAATGGAGCATACGGACTTGGGCTATCTGAACATCTCTCTGGCTGTGTGGATGCCGTTTCCCGGACAGCTGCCGTTCCCCCATCGTCTTCACCAAGCTCCTGTAAACAATAAACATGAACATGTAACACAGACACTGTCACTGGAATAAAGACTTAGAGAGATACTGTAGTAGCTTGGATCCATGATCCCACACGGTGGTGGTTTGTCTACGGCTGGGCGGCCTGATCCCATCCAAGTAGGGATATCAGCGAAGGCACTGCACAGCCCATCTGCGCAGGTCAGCCTGGCCCATCTACGCGCGGCCGACAAGAAAACTCATGAACACTTTCATTTTTTTGCAAAATAAATCGTGCGAAGAATATGCACGGAATGGCTGAAAACTAGGCTGAGGAAAAGTAGCATCCAGAGACTGTCAAACAAATTCATGGTCCATCGCTTCTGACAATGGCAGCAACTCTCTACCAAGCGCGGCGCTGGTTACTCACCAGGGCAGGGCGCTTCCATCGCGCAAGAAATGGCCGCGAGCGAGAAATGCAAGTCCGGTTTTGGAACGATCCAAACGTAATCCCTTGAAAATTGGCCTGAACACCTCTCATACTGGTGTTTCACGATGTGGAAACTTTCAGAGAAATCGACCTGGGAGAATGTGGTGAGTACGTGGGTCCTCCGTATCGCGTATGATTTGAATGGTCGCGGAGACAGAAGAATAATAATTTTACGACTCCCAGGGGTGCAAACAAACCGCGGCCATGTTGTCTCTGTCGGCCGCGATCACGTTCAAAAAAATTGACGACGCAATGCATGCGCAGAGGCCTGCGCAGTGCATTCGCTGACATCCCTAATCCCAGCAGGGGTGCCCTACTATACTCCCAGGCTTTGCTATTCCCAAAATGCATTTTCTAATTCTTAAAAAATATATATAAGACGCAGAAGTCGGTTTATAAAAATCCATTGCAAGCCTCCAAACGATATCTGGATATACATTGTATGAACTACCTCCAGCAGATATTATGATGATAGTCCACTGTGCTACAACCCCCTTACAAGTACACAACACAATAAAAATGATTCATGACTTGAAGTTGTTTGCATACGAGTTGCATGTGCATACTTGTACTTCATGGTATAGAAGAGTAATTAATATTTGAATTGTACTCTGAGCACTGCGAGACTGGTAAATTTCACACCTGACACCAGTGGCAAAACCTGATATTTACGAAATTTTTTTTAACAATGTACATGTACATGTAGTAACTCGCTGTCCACATTGATACATGTAGGTATCATTAGCTGACCAGGACCCACTTTGCCTTTACAACGGCGAGGGTACTACGGACATGCGTAGGCAATTGGAGATTTCCAATATGTTCCCTGTATCCGTTACACTTGCACATGATGCACTCGGAGCTATCAACTAAGATTATCGCCTGTCAGTGATTCAAACACTATTTTGCGGAGGGAAGTCTATTCCACGTGCGATGGACTGGTAGCGTATTCAAGCAAGTAGCGTATTCAAGCAAATAGAAACGCTGCATATTGGTATTACACATGCGAAACGTTTGCTTCGGTCGTGATCCACTAAGGTCACATAAATATTATAATTCCATCCTTCCGTTTTCCGTAACTCACTTACCATCATGGCTATCGCCCCTATCGTCCCCTCCCAGCTTCCAAGCCGGAGGCGACGAGCTCCGATCACGCCTGCGTAGAACCTTCTTGTGTTGGTGTACCACAATCCTAAAAGGAATTCTGGAGTAAACTTTGAAGAGTGTCTTTCCCACACGAGCGCATTTCAGGGCCCGGCCATCTATCTATTGTTGGCGAGAGTGGAATCAAAACAAAGCCTCGCTATCACTGTGTCAGTGCGGATCAAAACGAGGGTTCTACTTCTAGTGCGTCACGTTGCCACAGTCGCTCTCTGCAGTGTTGTTTGGAACATTTCAGCGATGGCACTGCACTGCGCTATGCGTATGACACGTCGGCACTGATAAAGCTGTGAGGGCTACACGCAAATCACCGCTGTCAGGACTGAGGACTACATGTACTTTGACGTTCATGATTGAAGTCTAGCTGTGGCTAGTTGGATCTGCGCCAGACAACCCCTCATTCGAAACTGTTTTGACTTTCAATACCTTTCACAATGTTCGCTGTACTGCAATCAGACCTGTGCCAGGCTGTGGTGCGACTATGGGTAGGGGAAGAGGGGGGAAGTCCCGAGGCATGGTCAAGGCAGCCCCAGATTGCATTACCTAAGAACTCGTGCAGCTTGTCGCGTGCTATGGGCGATGGATGGTATACCATGGTATACTAGTACATAATCTCATTACGGTATGGCATGCATCCTACAAAGTACATGTACAAGGCTACTACACTACAGACAGTCTACAGGCGCTAGGCCACAACCCAGTCGTTGCGTTGGACTTTGTTGGTTTGCTACCACATGTGACATACATGGTTGACAGTGCGCCGCCGCCGATACTGTGCGGCTGATAACATCCAGCAGTTACACGATTTTCTGTGGCAGGGACAGCCCGCCAGCGACATTGCCAGTACTGTACTCAGTAGTAGTCCACATGCACAGACTCAGTCCCTGCGAGAAAAAATCCGATCCATGTACATGTCATGTACATGTACATGTACATGTACATGTACATGGGACCGTAATAGTTAGGAGGTAATTATTGAAGTGAAAATTGTAAACAGGCTCATCAGTAGTCACAATGCAACAGTCGAGATTAGGCACTGGCGGATTATGCCCGCGAAATCATGGCATTTTGTTTTCATGGATTCTCGCATTATGCTCGCAAAATCCTCTTATTATGCTCTGGCACGCGGGGATACATATTCACTTTGTTGTGCTTATGGAGCCTCAAAGTTCGGAAAATTGTGCCTTTTTCGTACTTGCAAGCGGCCATAATACAACAAAATACATGAGTATCCCCATACCAAGGTGTCCATGCATACTAGAGATCAATCTGGAAAAGAGAAAACATTGCTTCTTCTATTCATTAGCTGACTTCTTTTGCTTTGAAGGATTTTTTCCTTACCTTTGAAAACTGTCATGTTCAACTGTCTTCGTAATCATACTCGTCCAACCGATGTCACCCTAACCGTGCGAATTCTCATAATAAGCTCATCTCTCCCGTAGCTCCAGCTCTCCTTCCATCATTGCTGAACATCAACTATACCTCAATTTGTTGAATTATTAGAGCAATACCCATAGCATGCACAGTCATAGCTGCTAAGATCCAGACGTCATGACTTCGTAACAAGCATAGTGTACATGTACGCGGAGTTTTGCGGACTACCCATCACTATCTCGTCCGCCCCGGGATACCTGATAAAGGCTGATTCACTCGCATCTTCTGCTACATGTACTGTATCACGGTGAGAAAGAACTTTGAGAAGACGAGTTCGAGCACACAAATGTATTTCCTTGATTTCTACCCTGCTTTTCATTGAAAACACTATCTGCATGACCTCCAAACCCTTTGCCATGCAGACCACCAGCACTGATCAGGTGCATTGTAAAAAAATGTGTAGCTTACATACTAGAACTGTGATACAATCATGCAGTTATGCTCCTACCTCCGAAAGGATGCCAAACTATGCTCCAAATTTTCAACCACCAAATTATGCCAATAATTATGCCGGCATAATCCGCCGGTGCCTACCTCTGGGTCTGCAGCGTCGGCCAGTTCGCTTCGTCGTTCATTCCCGGTCACGTCACTATGGGACAAGTACAGTCAGCCGCAGTATCTTTATTTTTGTGGCACATGCAGTAACTAATACTTACTTACTTTTCTGGTGTTAGACTGACTGCTGTTTTTTGCGCCCCCTTTTCACACGTGCTACATGTTTCTGTCCCAGCCATGAGCGCGTGTCTTTATCACCAGACCTTGTTATCGCTTTTGTCACTTAGGGTATGCCACGTTTCTAGGCAGAATGAGCGCAATTGCGCCAATTTAGCCCTATAAAGATCAGTCTATTCATATTATTCTTTAATCAACATCATATGCCTACACTGGTGAGCTCAGGAGGATCGATACAGCTGTCTGGAGGGACACTGTCAATATCAATCTATATACCGGAATTGTCCTCGCTGTGGTGATGGTGATGTGAGTGCAGAGTTTGGATCGGCCAAGAGCGCAATGTGGCGGCGTGGTGTATTGGATTCCAAAATGGCCGGGTCGTCGCTACTTCTTCTCAAATGCCCTAAACAAATGGCGCTAAACACCGGAAATGTCAATCCCGATCTCCTCATGATCCTCCATCATAACATGCTAGTGTTGCTACCACTACTCGAGATACGATTCAAACGTTTTCTTGTGGTGTTCATCAGGAATCAATAACCACAATGGGATCCATTTGAAAATGGAATCAGAATTATATCAGTAGCCAAGTCAGAGAGAAACCATGCATGTACATGTACATGTACATGTACATGTACATGTACATATAGCTCCAACAAATACCCGAATAGCGCTACAAGCAGCGGTGAAAAATTACACATTGTAGGAAAAAGGAGGTTAAAACGAGGAAAACGTTTGAATCGTATCTCGAGTCGGGTCCGGCGGATTCTGCCGGCAGAAAAATTGGCAGAATGCGGTAATTTTTCTGGTAAGTTTCATGCATGTTTGGTATGTGGATAAAGAAATGGAGCAGAATTCGAGGAGTTGCCTGCCATAAGGTTTGTATGGTTCTGCCAAATTCACTGCTTTTCGAGCAGAATCTGCCACCTTTTCGAGCAGAATCCGCCGGTCCCTAATTTCTCGACTGCTACATGTACATGTACATGTATATAATGTGACTGCTGATGAGCGCGTTTACAACCTTCATTAGAGAGGTTAAGTTTCACGTAAAAGTCTTACGTCCGTGAACTTTTACGTCAAAAAGTGAAAAAACTCACGTAAAATTTGACGTGTTTTACGTGAGTTGACTGTCCCGCACGTAAGTTCATGACGTGAGTTTTTGGAAGTTTCGCTTGGTTATTCCGACCGAATTTGTGTGAGTTTCCAGAATTTTATCGAGTTTGTTGAAAGATTTGATATTTGCGCGAACTAAACCCGAATCCTGCCAGGCAAAATTTCACGTCACGTAGCACGTGTAACTTAACCTCTAAAAATTACACGTAACGTGAGATTTGCACCGCGTTTTGAAAAAGGGCAAACAACGTGTAACTTAACCTCTCTATTTAAATTAAATTCTACCGTTTTTTGTCTCCTCGCCAATAATTTTCAAAATACGGCATGTACATGTACAATGTCATGTACTACAACATAATACTATTAATAGCACCAGGGCACAGGGATTTTAAGCGCCGTGAGTATGAGCAGAGAGTTGTCAATGTAGAACGTGGTTCTTTTACCCCTCTAGTGTTCGGTACTCATGATGGTTGTAGTCTGTTGTGCACTTTTTTTTTAAACGTCTTTGTCGCTTACAATGTGAGTCTTCTGGTAGCGAATACTCTGTTGTCATGAGTCTGCTACGTGCCCGTCTCTCTTTCTCCTTACTGAGATCCAGTAGTCTTTGTATCCGTTGTGCTCATTCTCGTCGGGGTTTCCCCGTCCAACGTTTTGTGGATAGTTCCGTCGTTGTGGCTGAGTCTCTGCTTGTTACGTAATTTTCTGATCTTCTATACTGTGTTTATTTGTTTATCAAGTTTTTTGCTTTTGATTTTTCTTGATGAAGTTATTTGTGTTCTTATTAAGTTAATTAGTACAGTGTTTTTTGTTGTTTTTTGTTATTGTTTTTCTCCTTTTGAATTGAGTTTATTGAGACAGGGCCGTTTCTTTCGCCCACACTGCCATACTGTACTGCATGCGAATCCCAGTGTAGGCAGCACCTGAGGCAGAGAAGCGTGAATTTACCCATTGGCATTGCTACATGATTGTGTTGGTTGGCATCGCCCAAGGACGGCAACCTGATATGGAGCATATAAATCAAGACGCCAAGATCCAGGTTGGGGTAGGGGAAGTCCCAACGCACGGTCTAGGCAGTAGGGACGTTTCGCACCACGCGTACGGATACGAAACGAATGCTGATTTGTCACCTGGGTTCGAGGATTCGTCAGAGTCGCCGCGGAGAGCTCGTTTTCACGAATGGAAGCCTCTTCATTCGTGGCACGCTCCGAATCCGTCAGGTACACATTTTTTTGCAAGGTACACATGTTTTGCCAGGTACACATTTCTTCCCTTGATTCCATGATCCATGCACGTGTGCGCGAACACACCCGTACGCCAAGCTACCGGCCGTATTCGTAGTTGCCATGCACATTTGCATTACGACTTGCGAAACCTGAATTCTGTTTTCAACGAAACGATTACGAGCCGAATCAAACTTTCGTTTCGCATTCGATTCGTAGCAAATGCGAAAGGTCCCTATTCCCAGATTTAATTACCTCAGACCTCGTGCTGGTTCTCGTGTGAGGCAAGGCATGCGAACTGACACCTTCTAAACCGGTTGAAGGCGGTTGGTGACCACAAAATCTTGAGGCTCTCAACCCAGTGCACCTCACAAGGCCTACATACATGTACATGTATGTGCACGTCGAAGTACATGTACAATTTGTGCCGTTTGTGCCGTACCTCTGAGCTGCACTGACGAGACCATTTGGCGTAGATAACAGAGTCGAAACAGCTAATTGTCCGGCGAATGAGTGCATGACTGGATGTGCATGGCAATGCTTGGCCGATGAAGATCGAGTGTGGCACGATTATGGCATGGTGGATGATCATGCACCAGGCAAAGTCTCAGTCAGTCTGAATGACAAACAGTGTACCACGAAACTACACCGTACATGTACATGTACTTCAAGATCAAGAGAGGTACGTGTACATGATATGTACCCGATGCTGTAGACAGCAAGCTGTTTCGACTATAAAGGTCTCATCATAATAAATGTACATAATACATAACTGTACCATTCTCATGTAGTTTCCTACATACAGACCACCAGTGACCACCAACAGAGATCGTTGCTATCAGTGAGGCCATTCACTTTCAACTCCACTGATGGGATCTGCAACAAGAATACTTTTAGTAGTCGATACAATTGACTAGAAGAGCTTTAGTGCCTGTAATTCCCGTACTATACGGTCCCTTTGTTCTGGCGACATAACTGTCTGGGTGCATCACAGGTAATACATACATGTACATGTACACGGGCACTAGTATAAGAGAAGACATAGCAGGTGTAATTGGGACCCACAATTTGAGAAAATGGTTTCACTGTTCTACACAACAGGAGGAGAAAATCTACCACATTTTGCTACACGGTCCGGGAGGCAACTATTAGCAACAATTACATGAAAAAAAGGAAATTATCGTGTCCGTTCCCGAAGGGAACTCACGACGGCCGCTAACACCCGATAAACCCACAATTACATGAACATTGCTACATATTATGCGGATACTCTCTGAAGAATATCCCCTTGCCCAGCCACAAGGAGTACACACTCTCCTGGCATATATACCGGCATGGTCGGCACCCGATCTTCATGTTGCCTGATGATTGCGTAAGCATGAAACTTAAAGTAGCAGCAAACAAGCCTTGATTGTCCTTGTTGTTCTGTTGTGTATTACGCTCTGCCTTTGTGGTGTTGAGCACTGTCAAGCACTCTGGGTACATCCTTCGGTGCATACATGTATGTATGTATGTATGTATGTATGTATGTATGTATGTATGTATGTAAGTAAGTACATGTATGTACATGGATGTATGTCTGTATGTATGTATAACGCAAACAGCAAAGGCACTACCCCACGCAAGAGTGCTCAACTGCTACAAGAGCAGGAGCGAAATACTCAATCAATCAGATTGAGTATGTATGTACATGTATGTACTCAATCTGCGGATGTATGTATGTATGTATGTATGACAGAAGTTTAATTTTAATTTATTAATTTAAAAGTAGGACGGAGGCAGAAAATATTACAAAAAAATGTATTATCTACGCATGTATCTACGCAAGAGTCACCACCAGCCAATTAGCACATGTGTCAAAGTATTGAACGTTTTCGTTCCCTTCTTGTACATACGTAAGTTAGACCCTGAGCTTTGTGTTCAGAAGGAGAATGTGTTGTCTTTGCAGTTGTTTGGCACTGTTCGTCGTGAAGGTGCGAAATAGATCTCTTGATATTTCTCTCTTTTTCTTGTCACTACGTTTTTGTCACTTATTGGATTTGCATGCTGTTTTTTTTTTGATTCTTCACATCTATTTTTTCGTGTCACTTCTACACATAATTGGAGTGATATGTTTCTGAACTTCTTTTCCTTATAGTTGTAGTCTTTTAGCTTATTTCCATCATTCCCTGTAGTATTTTGACAAGAAGGGAACGAAAACGTTCAATACTTTGACACATGTCCTAATTGGCTGGTGGTGACTCTTGCGTAGATGCATGCGTAGATAATACATTTTTTATTAATTTTATTTATTAATTTTATTTATTTATAATGTATTTATGTACATGTATGTATGTATGTACATGTATGTAGTTGTGCTGGGATGCATGAACAGCTAGCGTTGTGATTGGGAAAAGCAATGTCAGATCATGGTGCAACACACATGCAGGTTAACATACATCATTCATTCAAACAGAAGCATGTGGCCAGGACACATCTCCACAGAAATGAAATCGTGCCTCGTGTCAAGAGTGACGGAACGGCATGGTTATCCACAAGGGCACTTATCGTATTCCCAAAACTGCTCCGCCAAAATCTTAGTGCACATGGAAACTACAATTGACGATTAGCATGAGCTTGCACTCCCTGGCAAGAACATGCGCGAGTGCGCGCACACACACTTCAAACACAAAAACAACAATTGCTGCACTTCCAGCCTCAGCATGTCCCCCCCCCCTTCCACACACACATGTACATACACATCCACGCAATTTCACGACCGTGAAGCGCTTGACTTAAACTCGTGAGAGAAAATCAGAGATACAAATATATAAGCACCACAAAACGTATCATCAGAATGTGAGTGCTAGCAAAACATCAGAGATAGGAATGCAAAATTTACACATTATGGACTGCCACCGGAGGGTTAGCATCGAAGAGATTAAAATCTAAACTTGCAATGCACGTACCGGAATTTTCGAAAACTTAACTGTGTGTGCACACCTTGGGCTTAAGGCCCAGCAGCCCGAAAAATTATGTTAGAAAAATGATAAAGGAAATGGACTCGGATGGAGAGCAAAAGGATAAATGTACAGAAAAGAAAGGGGTCAAGGAACTATAAGTAACCCGTGGTGTTAGTGGGAATTATATTGCCGCTTGTTGTTCCTTGGTCCTTTTATTTCCTATTGTATGGAAAGTTTGTGTTGATACCAATCTACGCTTTCTCTGAAAGATTCCTCACTGGAGATGATATCTCCGGAGGACAAAGAAAGGGTATAGCAAGAGATATTGTAGCTGGTTTGATCAGACAATAAGGAGTACCTTCATGAAAATCGTCAAGGTATCGTAGAGAACGGTGTGTCAAAAGACTCTGACCGGGGCCAACTGAAAACGTGAGACTACAGTCAAGACTGACTGGAAGTTTTCCAGTGACTATGGAAGTATGAGCTCAACACGCCTATCCTTCCTCTAGGAGGAAGAGATTAGGCTTAAATGACCAGATTGCGCAAGTACAGCATGAGACACTCACATATTGAGTGATCACTTTGACTGGGAACTTGGGCAAATATTTATCAAGCTGGGTCTGTAAAGATGTCCGACGAAAGGAAATGAAAGGATGAAATATAAAAACGCATCCAAATGAATGACCTTCAGGGTTGACGTCAGTGTATTTGACGCCCCTGTTCCTCTTTCACAGCTACACCCATGCCCCAAAGGAATCAATGCCTTGCGTACCGCTTCAGCAGCATTGGGGGGGGGGGGGGGGGGGATCATGGGAGTAGACTAGACCTTTTCACCTTTTTATATACATATTATCTATGATTTGGGTCAGAAACTATACTTCAATCCGAATGAACTGGTATGGTTTCAATGTACCTTTAAAGAACATACATGTATAGAAGCAAGTTAATGCCATATTTACCTTGGTGTCTGAATGGTAGCTTGGAAGTGCTGCCTATTCATAATGCACTTGCTATCTCCATGGTGTGGACAATCCATGACACCAACAGCTCTCTATGTATATGCACCAATCCTGAAAGAGCACGCAATGAGTTCATACCATGGTTGCAGGGTGTAGCATGCTAACTGGTTTCTGCCGCATCGTCGTCACCTTCACTAACGTTATGATGAATCGATGGGATGTGTGCTGAATCATCTTGCCTGGCGGTCAGTTTGGGTGAATACTTGTTTTCCGAATCACGCACTGACGCAATGGTGATGAACACCAAAGAAATCATCCACCTGGGTAGAAATGGAACGCGAGTCAGCACCCAGAAATATAGTGGTAGGACAGTGACGATGGATCCGTATGTGGCAATATCTGAAAGCAGGCTTAGCAGAAGGGTTCGGGTTAGGAGTGACGGGATCTCATAGGCCTTGAACTTTCCAGCTGCAATCTCTCGACACAGACACACGAAGAATGGTATCAACGTGTATGGCCCCGTTAGCATAATATTTCGAATCAACACTGCTGGTAGGCTCTTGATAGATGGCACCTCCCAATGTACATACGTACGCTTGTGGGAGTCAGTGCCTTCTTCTTTTGGCAATGGTAGTATTTCACCCTCTGAATCCTCTTCAAAGAAGCTACGGATGATCCATTGAGCCATGTGATATGATATCTCGCTTTTCCGTGCGTCGTGAGCGATGATTTCTTCAGGACAGACATACACGGTGAATGGACGCTTAGCCTCTTCACTGATTAGCAACTTGTCTGCCATGACTACTGCTTTGGTTCTGTTCTGGAACTCATAGTTCGCGTTCTTCAGGGTGTTAACGATGCGGATCCGGTGATCGCCGACATAGCTCAGCAGATGGCTTATCAGAGCTCTTGCGGTGCGGTCTCCGACCCACACAGTCAGACGAGCCAGTCTATCCTCAATATAAGCAAGGCTGATGGCATAATCATGGGAGGAATCCAAATACGGCTTCAGTAAGGCCCTATGCTGTCGGTAGATAAACTCAGACAAGCCCTGATTGTTTTGCTTCTCTTGGTGCAGGTTCACAGTAAGGCGAGCAATCACTCGTTCTTTGGCAGCCAGTTGCCCACTCAGAGTTTGTTTGGCTTCCACATGCCGGCTTTTCGCTTTCATGCATGATTCTTTGGCGTCGTCCTTCTTCTTGATCAAGCCTTTAGCCGCTGTTAGCTTTTGGTGATATAGCGGAAACAAATGCATATGCTTCTGTATCCATGCCCTGCTCTGTAGAGCTTGGATCCTTGAATAGTGCAGATTGCCTATACAGCTTACAAAGTGTGTAGTGGCCTCACTCCGCTGGGCTGCGCATTCAGTCAACGACGTGTTGAGGGTAGTCATCTGCGCTCTTACTTCGCACAGCTGACATTTCTCACTGCCCGCTGCTGACTGCTGCATAGCATGCGTTGTCTGTGAGTAGCACTGCTTCAGGTCAGCTTGCAGCCCCTTATTCTCCTGATGGTTCTCAGCCGCTCGTTCCTTCCAGATGTCTCGCTCAATCTTCAGGGCTTTGTTGTCACTCAGCAAAACCTGGGAGTCATTCTTGCAATGGGCTACTGAATCAAACAGCCTCTTGTTCTGTGCCTGTTGGTCATCAAGTCGATCTTTGAAGATGTCTCCCTTCAGCGTAAGTCGCAGGTTATCATCTCTCAGTTGGAGATTCTCATTTCTAAGATACCACGCGCAACCCGTCACCAGCATGATAATGAACAAGTGAAGACCTGCAGCCGTTGAGGGAAGGGCAGGTGTTTTCAGATAAAACCAATCCAGAATTCTGTGCATTACTCCAATCTGCTTTACACCCTTGTGTCGGCCAGGTGGGCTTGAAGCATCATCCCGAGGTGTGTTAAGGTCTGGCGTGCTACGCTCGGGGTACGACATTGACAACTTGTTGTGCCCATCAGGACGATGATCCAATGGAGCATACGGACTTGGGCTATCTGAACATCTCTCTGGCTGTGTGGATGCCGTTTCCTGGACAGCTGCCGTTCCCCCATCGTCTTCACCAAGCTCCTGTAAACAATAAACATGAACAATGTAACACAGACATTGTGACTGGAATGAAGACTTAGATAGACACTGTAGTAGCTTGGGTCCATGATCCCATACAGCAGTGGTATGTCTATGGCTGGGCGGCCTGGTCCCATCAAAGCTTGGGTGCCCTACTATACTCCCGGGCTTTGCTATTCCAAATGCATTTTCTAATTCTTTAAAAAAAAATATAAGATGCAGAAGTCGGTTTATAAAAATCCATTGCAAGCCTCCAAACGATATCTGGATATACATTGTATGAACTACATGTACCTCCAGCAGATATTATGATGATCGTCCACTGTGCTACAACCCCCTTACAAGTACACAACACAATAAAAATGGTTCATGACTTGAAGTTGTTTGCATACGAGTTGCATGTGCATACATGTACTTCATGGTATAGAAGAGTAATTATTATTTGAAGTGTACACGGATAACTGCGAGACTGGTAAATTTCACACCTGACACCAGTGGCGAAACCATGATAATAACGATTTTTTTACAATGTACATGTACATGTAGTAACTCGCTGTCCACATTGATACATGTAGGTATCATTAGCTGACCAGGACCCACTTTGCCTTTACAACGGCGAGGGTACGACGGACATGCTAGGCAATTTGGAGATTTCCAATATGTTCCCTGTATCGGTTACACTTGCACATGATGCACTCGGAGCTATGAACTAAGATTATCGCCTGTCAGTGATTCAAACACTACTTTGCGCAGGGGAGTCTATTCCACGTGCGATGGTAGCCTATTCAAGCAAATACGAACGCTGCATATTGGTATTACACATGCGAAACCCTTGCTTCGGTCGTGATCGACTAAGGTGACATAAAACTCCATCCTTCCTCATTCCGTAACTCACTTACCAGCATGGCTATCGCCCCTATCGTCCCCTCCCAGCTTCCAAGCCGGAGGCGACAAGCTCCAGTCACGCCTGTGTAGAGCCCTCTTGTGATGGTGTGCCACACACCTAAAAGGAATTCTGGGGTTAACTTTGTAGAGTGTCTTTCCCACACGAGCACATTTCAGGACCGGGCCATCTATCTATGGTTGGCGAGAGTGGAATGGGTCAACTTGATCAAAAACAAAACTAAGGAAAACTGCAGACTGCGCAGCACAGCCTCGCTGTCCGTGCCAGATCAAACGAAGGTTCTGCGATCATTACACATGTCCTAGTAGTAGCTGCTGCGGTCGATCTCTGCAGTGCAGTGTCTAGCGACTTGAACGATGGCACTGCGCTATGACAGTACACGTCGACACTGTACTGATCTTACTTCAAGGCTATGAACTGACACAGGTGAGATTGTGTGGCCTCGCGCTGTCTCTTGTCAGTCTTGACTTGAGTCTTGGAGAAAGCACAGTACTGCATCGACTTGAGTCTTGGAGAAAGCACAGTACCGCATCATGCAGGAGTAGTTCTACTACTACTAGTACTAGTACATGTACAGTACTTGAGTTTGACGTTCCTGATTGAAGTCTCGCATATCTTATCGATCTAGCGCCGTAGCGGTGACTAGTTGGATATGTGCCAGACAACCACTAGCACTCATTCGAAACTGTTTCGACTTTCGATACCTTTTCACCATGTTCATGGTCAGTACATGTACCACATACTAGTACTAGTGACAGTCAATCAGACCTGTGTGGCATGGCGTACAGCCTGTAGCGACTATGGGTAGGGGAAAGCGGGGGAAGTCCCAAGGCATGGTCAAGGCAGTCCCAGATTGCATTACCTCAGATTCTCGCGTGACCAGATCAGGGTTCCACTGCACTGACATGTAGATGTAGATCTACACGTAGAAGTACATGACTGTATGGTTTTTTTGCAAAACCTACAATCTTGTTATCTACGTATCTAATATTGACTGAGTACGAGGTCAATAGGAAATAAAAGCCGAGGTCTTTTACGAGGTTTTTATTTCCTATACTGACCAAGTACGAAGTCAATATTAGATGTATCACGACAAACAGTCCGTATTTCAAATTCCAGAACGATAACCTCATGAATCCCGGTTTTATGATTGCACAACCGTTGCACCACCACCTACTCGTGCAGTGACAATGCTGCACTAGGCACCGTTAAACTGCGCAACCCCTAAGCAGTCAAATATAAGCAGTCAATATAGCCCTAAGGAGTGAAATATGCAGGAATATTTGACTGCTTAGGTATGGCAAAAATCTATGTGGGTCAATACTAAGGGAGTGATAAATGTATGTACAGGCTACACCTGTTGAACTGGAGAATGAAGTCGGAAGCGCGCCTATGCTGCGTGACCGGAATGGCCTGCGAACTACAGTACTAGTGCTGAGACGTTCGCCTTTATTAATTTTTGGAAAACAAACTGCGTGATGCAGTCGAAAAGCGCTCACAGAAAGCAAACGCACATCTGATCCCGCAATAGGAAAATCAGCAATGCCTGGACATGTTTCGTAAGGTGTAAGGACTTTTAGGTGTGTGTTTGTGGTCACATGACTTCGCCAGTTACATGTACCATGTATATGGACTAGACAGTCATCTCAGTGTGGAATGCACACCTCACAAGTGAGTCAGGGTAGAGGGGGTTAGTCTCTCAACCTACATCGTATCTGGCGTGCAATGGCCCATAAGTTATAAACCTGCATCCTTTTTATCCTCATTCTCAGCTGTGAGTACCCAGTTGATGGCGGGTACCGGGTGTCGGCGCAGTTCACCACGCACATACATGTATATTCTACTCGAAAAGCAGTGATATTGGCAGAATTATGCAAACCTTATCCTTGAATTATACTGCATTCTCAACCAACTTACCAAACAAGCATGAAACATACCAAAAAGGTACCAACTTCTGCACAATTTCCTGCCCGCACTATCCGCTATGAGCTATCATCAGGTGGAGTCACCCTATACTGTACAGTATCAAGATCAACTATCTCTTATTGGCGATGGTGCCATCGTGAGAATAAAGAATTCAAACTAAACAAGGATTATAAGACGATTGGAATACAATGACTGCATAAAACTAATGGGAAATGGGGAAATCGATTGAAAGATATGGATAAAGTATTTGAAGATGTATGTATTACTGGGCATTTTCTCCTGCTCTCACTGAGCGGAGTTGAAAGCGCTGAAGATAGCGGCGGTTGGCGCGAATGCGAAAATAATGCGCTGTCTGCCAAAAGTTGCATGCCCTGTTCGCTTCATAGACATTTGGCATTTTCAGCAATCGACAGGCATACTTGGCTTTATGGCTTTTGGACCTACTACCAAAGTATAAGAGGATTACTAGTTGAGCTATGAAGAAAAATTCTCCCATCAGTTTCAGCAAAACGCTAGCATATATTGGAAATATGGAAACGATAAATGCAATCACAAACACCGTCCAGAGGAAGTTAAGACGAAATGATGTTGAGTTTATGATATATCCTTCAGATGTTTTGACATTCACCTGGCCTTGGTAAATCACAATGTCCCACAACATACACGTGATAATCGCAAATGCAAAAAAACACATGTGGTAGAGCAATGAGATGATAAACCCAATCCATGGGAATCGTCCATCCTCAAACGGGTCCTGCCAAAAGCGATCCACCAGGCGAGAAATGAACAATAGAAACGAAGACAGATGACTTCTGCCTACCGGTATTTTGCAAATGTCGTATGTACGGCTAACATCCTCATACTGTAGTAAAGAGATGAAGTGTTGAGGAATATCGTGGCCCAAAGGAAGCTTGGACGCCCACACCTTTACGGCTGACTCTTCTGGAAACTGGTAGTTTCGACTTTTCAAGAAACGCACAGCTTGGTCTTTACATCTCTCCAAAACAATCAGCTGCGCAATTAGCTTACTGCTAGCTTCTGTCCCGCGACGAATCAAATCAAGAGACTCATTACTCCATTCGTGAAGGACGGCTATGTTGGTAGCATACGCGTGTGCTATCTCCATGAATTCTTGATCGATTCTATTTCGATCTTCCGTCCAGTTTGCATTTCTTCTCTCTATAGACCTCCTCAGATGCTGGTTTTCGTTTTCGAGGCGTTTGCACTCACTCCGTGATTCCGACAGGTAGGCGTGTTGCACTGCAATCACAAGCAATAGCAGTGATGCCATGAGCATAGCTATCGTACCAACCCTGCGTGATGTCATCCATCCCATGTACATATAGGCAGATGAAGGTGAAGCCTCCTCTCTGCCGACACGCGGAATTTCCGTGCTAGCCTGCGGCCGGTCGGAGCTAGTAGTAGGAGCGGAATAAGCACCATTCGCAGGTACAGGAGTGGGAGCAGACGCACGGTCCGTACATTTCTCAGCTTGTATGGGGGCTCGCTTCGATTTGGAAGACCTCTCCATTACTATATCCTGTGCTGATCCTGGGCAGAGAGAGACAGGAGAATCTGGGTTGAACTGGAGATACATATAAAAGGCTCGAACAAGCCGTAAACTAGAACACTAAGAAAGAGCACCCACTTCAGGGTCGTCAACACCGACCGTGATTTTGAAAACGTTCAACAAGAAAACGTTTGTGTCTTCTCCTCAGGGCACGTACAGGCAAAGGTCATGTTGAGTAAGCTGAAGTGTGTGCTCTTTCCAAGTGTTCTAGCATTTCAGTCTGTGATGAAATTCAAAAACTAAAACTATATGTACCTACTCGCTGTGGTCATCTCACTAACTTAATTGCATAATCCTTTCAAGCTTGAAAACCCCCAAGTAAGCAAGTGCACGTATCCTTGACCTTTGACCTTTGACGCCCATCTACAGTGGAGATGATAGGCTACTGAGTTGGGCAGTACTTGAGGTGACGCTTCAAATCTCCACTTCTCCTAAACGTTCTGCCGCACGCGCAGTGGAAGTCCTTCGGTGCTGGGAGAGGAAGACGATATTGATGTACCCGCTTGCGCCATTCCGGGCGATCCTGCGCGAGATTGTACCACTCGGACTCCGGAATATCAATCGTGTCTCGCCAGCGCTTCTTTGGTCCATGTCGTGGTCTGGTTGCCTAGAGCTGCCCAACCAACACTTGTTGAGGAATTCGGGCCGCGTCCATACGGGCAACATGACCCAGCCAACGCAGACGGCACTCACGTAGGAGAGTGCCGATGTCCTCAGGAAGACACGCTGCCATGCACATACACACGTACACGTAGCTACATGTACGTAGAATTACTTCACAAGACGCACATACACGACTGCACACATACAATCATGTAGACTCGTGCACACTGGTTACACAACAAGTAGAGGTCTCCACGTCGACTCCTTGATCGTTCGTTCACAATGCAATCCTGAACACGTCATTCCTATTGTTATGAGATCCCAATCCGCTCAAGGCCCGGCATGGAATACATTCTCTGTTGACCAGTATCTGGGGCAGGGATACCCGATTATTTCATTCATTGATACGAGGATGTGTCAGCACTACTATTTGCGCTGTGAATGGCTAGCGGAAGTGAACAATTTTTAAATTAGGAGGCAATCTGAACAGGGATTAGGAGTTGGCTTGCTGTTTGTTGCAGTATAATGTAGTCCGTGTGAAAAATACTAAGAAAGTTTTTGACATCACGCAACTGCGTAATGTCTGAAATACACGTACATGTACAAACGGAAGTTTACTATGCACGATTCCAATGGGAAAGGTTTCGCACACTTATACACCTTATACCGTGAACCATGGCATCACATCCTTACCAGGTACTGTAATGTAAAACGTGCGCGAGGGGAGAGAGGAACCGCTGCACCTTTCTGGCGGATGTGAGCAGGTTATGGTTGTATCGCGGCAGACGATAGGACCGCGCGACTCTGGCGCGTGGCACACTGGGAGCTTCTTATTCCCCAGTGGAGGTTCGAGTACGTTTCAAATACGTCTAGGATAGCCAGCTACTTGCATTGTGTCGCACAATTGTCTAGAGTTACAAATACAAACTGTCCTGGATCAATTCTCTCTCTGTGACTACGCCCGATGCTACCTGTACTTTGGTGCTGACTTCGGCTTACCTCGGCTTGCACACAATAAGGCCCTACATGTACATTGTATTTAGTCATAATGTACATGTAGATAGGGTGCACCACGACACAGACATCTCCTTGGCATATAGGCAGAAAGGTTCCACTGGCACTTATCAAAGTATTGGCAACGGTCCAAATCCTACACCTGCTACGCCACGAAGCCATACAAAAGATGGAGTACCGGTACTTTACGACATCCTCAGTAGCAGGGCTTTCTTGTTGACGGGCTCGTAATCTCTACTGTGCTCGTAATCCGGTCAGTTAGGCGCATGACATTTCATCACGAGACACTTCGAGGTGGTCAATTCATCGAATGACATTTCACAACTGTGCTGCTTCGCAGCTTCATTTTTTAGCCGAATAACACATTCGGCGAGTACATTTCGACGAAGTTATATTCTCACCGCCAACCCTGTCGCCGAATTCACTGAAAAACTGTAAGCTTTGGGTACGAGATCCTTCATCTTGGTGACTCAATCATGGACACTTATCCCAATTTTATTGGCCTACCTTTTCGAGGCAAACCCAAACTAGTCAAGGATGCGCCTGCCTACGTGCGAGACAAGAGAAGTCACGAGACTGTTTACTGGAGCTGCGAAAGAGAGACGAGCTGTCCTGCAGAGGCCGCATGCACACAAAAAAAGCCGCGACGAGTCATGACTCTTCCCACCAGATCGTCCCAGGGTCACTGGGAAAAAGGTGAGCTGTGGTGAGCTTACCTACCGTATTCCATAGCTCTGAAGCGAATAGAGCAAAGTGCCCGAAATGCAACCAACAATGTTCCCACATCAGCTAACTTGGTTGCACTGGTGATACTGGACATGTACATGAAATCGCACGGCGGGGAGGCATTCCTAATGTTTCAAGGTATTTTCGATATTCTGAAGGCCAGTATAGCATTTTCACTGTGGAATCGACTCAGCGTCCAAAATACTACAACATATGGGCCAATCGCGGTCATCCATGCTTTTATAAGAACGAAATGGCGCTTTTAGTGACATTTTGCATACAAATCCCCATCTAGTAGGGCGCAGTCACCCAGTTTCGGTGGAAGTCCGCAAGTTCGATTGGGATTCAAGTAGGAAGGGAGCGTCTCAGCTTCCTCGGACCACGACCATTCGACTCAGCACCCCGAAGACTACAACTGGTGAAATTTTAATTTTTGCCTTAACTTCCCCTTTAACACCTACATGTACCTACATGTACATTGTACATACACACACTCACGCACACACGTAAACACTCATGCCAGTACATTGTATAAGCACACGTGATTGCCCAAAACGGATTGGTTTTAGACATTTCCAATTTTATCAGGGTTGTGAGTTGGACTTTTTACTCTATAATTTAGACATGGCATCAATGATTTTTTAAATTATAAATGCAAATGCAGCCGTAGATAGGAGGTAACACTTTGAGTAACACAGATTGGTTGGGGGAGAGGAATTTTTAAGGCACAGGAAATACAGTACAGCGCTATCATGACGACATTGTGCTAATAAGTACAGCAGCTTCAAGTGATGGTAGGACCTGCGGGGAGATTCAGTGTGCGTTTCGAAGAAATCCCTCATGGCAATGAGAGTGACGGGAGAAAATTGAGGCCTCCCAGAAGGAGGTGAGAAGTGGAGGAACAAGCGTTGGAAAGTAGAAGGTACATGTACATGTATTTCTAAAAAAGACAGGAAATAAATACATAAAATTTATAGCAGTTGGAGGTTTTGAAAAGAGTGTAAGGGCGTGTCGGGACGTTCATCGAGAAACAGAAGCAGTCTAATGCTACGGTAGGTATCTAGGTTGTGTGGTACATGAGAGTGTGGGAAGAAACGCCTAACTGTCCATTAAAAGCCTGGAGGTGGAGACAAAAGTTTGGTAAATCACTAATCATAATTCTCAGTAATCCAAAAGTAGAAGAGACAGAACATACAGTGCAAACCAGTCGCAAAGTGCCAAAATGTAAAAGTTGGTGGAGAGATTTTTGGAGTGGCACATTACGTTCCTGGGGTGATTGGACTACATGTACTATTACAGAGTTTACAGTTAACGTGTACATACTGCACACGTTAGCTCCTTCTGCTTGTCGTATGGGGGACATGACATCTCACTCTGACACGTGACCTCCGTGAAGTACAGTAGAGCTCCATTCTGGTTGGCTGATGTTCCCTTGCCAACGTCTGGGTCCACATCCACGCAAATATTCTTTGTGCGGCGTTGTGTATGATGCTGCGCCATTAGATATCCATGGTACTCCAGAGTCCAGCCCGAAGGACAGGTATTTCTAGCTGGAATCATGATGTGGGACACACGAGAGTCAGCCTGGCATACTGCACACAATGGATTGTGCTGGTACAGGCCGGTGAAAGGCTGAAATGTATGAGAAGTTTCCAACTCACTAATATACACCAGGTTTCCTGACTGAACTCCAGGTTTGAAGTCTCCATACTGAGGCTCCTCCGGCAAGCAGAGATACTCGGCAGCACCACCCTTGTGAAGGTAGAAAGACCCAGCCATGAACCCGGTGTAAACTAGGGAGGCTCCAGCTGTCTCGTTGCACGTTTCCTTTCCCCAGCGAGTGTAGGAAACACCAAAGTGAGCAACTTGATGCTGGAGCAGCACAACAGTGTCTTCTACCTTACTGAGGCGATCCTTCACCTTCTCTTCGCACTGGTCTCCCTGGAAATCCTCAGGACACTGGCAGATATGCTGTCGGATGATATCCACATGTACACATCCTCCACCATTCTGGCAGAACGGTTTCATGATGCATTTTCCATAGTCATGGATGCAGTTGTGAAGTCGAAAGATGTCTCCAGCATTGGTTATGCCGAAAGCCTTGCCCTGAAGCAGAGTTACCAGTTCAAGGAAGTTTAGTCCGTACAGGGAATCGACATCCAACTCGTTGTTTCGGAAGGCCTGAATGTAGCGCGGGATGGACTGCTTGCGTAATCCAGCTTGGATGAACAGCGCTTCCAAACAGTCAGTTCGCTTGTTGTCACTAGGGGGCTTCGTTGGTGCATCGGGAATATCATCGGGGTTGTAAAATTCTGGAAGAAAGTCTTGGTTTTCATCTTCGCGACTATTTACACTGTCCGAAAAGAGTTCATCGGTGTCAGTTGCAGGCTCTGCACGCGTCGCTTTATCGCCACGAGAGATAAATATCATTGCACAAAGCAATAAAAGAATTTTTGGGGCAGACATTTGCAGACTGAAAATGGAAGACGTTGTAATCTACCTTGCCAATTTTTTCATTTAAAATATTTCTTATAGGATCTGACCTTGAAGGAAGGCTGATGATTGATCTCGTGGTGTCGCTGAATTTATAGGCTTTGCTCTCTGGTGATTTTCGCAATCCCGTGGAGCTTGAAACCTCACGTTTCCTGTTACAGGAATACGGAAAGTCTTTTCCGCTGTATCTTTTTAAAGGAAAATAATTTGTTGTCCGATGGTTCACCGTGCATGATTTTTTTTTAAGTTTCATGCACTGGTGAACCATCGGACAAAAATTTCTTTTCCTGTTAGATGATTGGGTTACGTATCGATGCTTTGTTGTGGCAGGTACACATTTCCGAGTTTTCCACTTCAATTGGGCAAACTGTCACTCGTGGTCCAATTATGTTTTGGCATGTTCATCATAATATTATCAGGATGGGGTTTATGGTGGTGAGTGTGCCGCAAAATATGCACAGGTGACTGTGTGTTGGTCTATGTGGTTCCTCTATTGTTTGTTATTGTGTGAAGCGTTGCCATCCTGTCTAGCAGTTTGTAGCTGAAGTGCCGATGTTGCCTGAAATATTCTCCACTTGTCTGTGCCGGTTTTTTGCAGGTTGTGCGCATGTAAATTTGGGGAATGCGCTGAGTGTAAAATTAGAATCCACATTCCACAAGGCTCAAGGTTAGTTTCCGGGTTTGCGTGTCTACATCGTACATTGTAGGTAAAGAGAATCCAACCCTCATCTGTTTCAAAAACACACGGCATTGAAGCCTTCCCTCATGAAACGGCATGATTTTTGCAGTTCATGGAAGGCCATTGCAGGACGTTGAAATGACAAGGTACCGGGGAGTTGTTATTGTTTTTGATTTATTTTAGTTCGTTGCCTCAACTGTACAAAGTACAACTTCAAAGAGGGTTGAACAGGCTTGGACGCGTGACGATTATTTCCCGAGATCAAGTTAAAGCTGTACGTCATCAGAGGGAATGTTTCTTTCCCTTCCTGCGGTTTGCGCTGTCCCCATTTTTCTTTTTTGCGCATTATATTTCGACTAACTTGGTCCGGCAATAATTTTTTGTGGGATCCCTAATAATAGGAAATGAACGTGACAAATGCAAAATCCGTTTCCTTAAGCACCGTGTCCACACCACCAGCATCAGCCCTCTACTGAAAGATAGAGTAAACCTCCAGCCTCAGTCTCAGTCTCAGTAACACACTTGGCAATGACAATTGCAAATACGTTGTGCTGCTAAGTCGGTGAACATCTGACGACAGCCGACCATTGGTTTCCGTCGCGACGTTTTGGAACACCCTGCCACAGTAGCTCACGTTCACTCGTCGTCCACACTCCTTTAAAATATTGCTAGAAGTGTTTAATATGTATACAATAAATGAGGAGGCCGAGGGTTTATGACCTGTAAAAAACTCCTACTCAATCTCTAACAACAAAATTAGTGGACAGCTGTTATTTGTGGTGCTATGACAACTCGTATCAGGCAGGCACAGTGGGTTGGTCAAAGACCATGACTGAGATACGAGAGGTACCTGGTTCAAGTCCTGCCTGGGAGCGGTTTTTCCAGCCGTGCTGCTACCCAAACAGTCAACTGGGAACTTGTGGCCAGGCACAAGGGGTACATGGATGCAGCTAATGGGGCCGTTCTCGACACTTGTGCCAGTGGTTGTGAGACTTATCCACTCACCCCCACCCTTAGGCGCTGCATCTGCCGCTAGGATTTACCGGGTGTTAGCGGCCGTCGTGAGTTCCCTTCGGGAACGGACACGATAATTTACTTACTTACTTATGACAACTCGTGTGCTGGAGGAGTATTTGTTGTCATTGGTTCAATTTCTTTTACTCTTCATAGGCTATTAGATCATTTTCCTTATTCGATCTATTTATAACCAGTATCTATAATGAGAGTGTGGTCTGTCTCCATGGTTACCAGTGTTAATTTCATAACTATAGCCACTTTTCCTTGTTAGACCTTATCTGGAAGGCCCATTCTTGCATATTCCAACAGCAGCCAAGGGAGCTAGCTCTCTTGGTTATGCGGATTGGGTCCGATCCTAAAAAGCTGTTTTATGAACTGTTTTATGAACTGTTTTTATGAACTGTTTTTATTGGATAGGATATGATTATGTTGAAAAAAAAGAGGTTTGTGTCAATGGTGGATTGACTTGGAGTTTTTACGAGTTGATTCTAAAGCCAGGCAGTACAGGCAGGGCAGGATGCCGTATCAACATAAAACTGTGTCTTTAGTGTGGTTTAGCAGTAGGCCTTTCTCATCGAGGTATTGCTCTAGCAGCCGCATACTATCCTGAAAGCGTACCATGATTTCAGCCACATCAGAGCCGAGGATGTAGAACGAAATAAACCTACCTCTGCTAGAACACTCTGGTGAAATATTTTGGGCAATCGGCGAACGTAGATGCAGAAAAGCAATGTCCCAAGGACAGACGCTTGGGGAACCCTCTTTTTCAGGGCTTGGTGTTACCCTTCTCACCGTTGACAATAACCTGCTGGCTGCTTTTCGTGAGATAGTCCGGTAGTCAAAAACCACTTGAGGACGTGCCGCCCAAACCGGTGGTGGCTAGTTCGTCCAGTGGACCTGTGTGCTGCACCTACTTGTACTTGTACACTCATGTACATGTTATGGTTAGGCTGCGAGCACGAAAATACTTTAAGTTCAACATTGTATTTCTGTTGAAATACAAGTAACTCTGCACCTACCTACATTGTACATACACACACTCACGCACACACGTAGACACTCATGCTAGTACATTGTATAAGCACACGTGATTACCCAAAACGGATTGGTTATACATGTAGACATTTCCAATTTTATCAGGGTTTTGAGTTGGACTTTTTACTTTATAATTTAGACATGGCATCAATGATTTTTTTTTAAATTATGAATGCAAATGCAGCCGCAGATAAGAGGTAACACTTTGAGTAACACACATTGTTGGGGGGGGGGAGGAATTTTAAGGCACAGGAAATACATTACAGCGCTATCATGACGTCATTGTGCAAATGTTCAATCTAATAAGTACAGCAGCTTCAAGTGATGGTAGGACCTGGTGGGAGATTCAGTGTGAGTTTGGAAGAAATCCGTTATGGCAATGAGAGTGTCGGGAGAAAATTGAGGCCTCCCAAAGGGAGGTGAGAAGTGGAGGAACAAGCTTTGGAAAGTAGAAGGTACATGTACATGTATTTCTAAAAAAGACAGGAAATGAAAACATAAAATTTAGAGTAGTTGGATAGTTTTTGAAAGTAGTGTAAGGGCGTGTACAGACGTTCGTTGAGAGACAGAAGCAGTCTAATGCTACGGTAGTTATCTAGGTTGTGTGGTACATGAGACTGCTGAGTAATCCAAAAGTAGCAGAGACAGAACATACAGTACAAACCAGTCGCAAAGTGCCAAAATATACAAGTTGGTGGAGAGCTTTCTGGAGTGGCACATTACGTTCCTTGGGTGATTGGAGCACGTGTACTATTAAAGAGCGTACTGTTAACGTGTACATACTGCGCACGTTAGCTCCTTCTCCTTGTCGTATGGGGGACATGACATCTCACTCTGACACGTGACCTCCGTGAAGTACAGTAGAGCTCCATTCTGGTTGGCTGATGTTCCCTTGCCAACGTCTGGGTCCACATCCACGCAGACATTCTTTGTGCGTCGGTGTGTATGATGCTCCGCCATTAGATATCCATGGTACTCCAGTGTCCAGCCCGAAGGACAGGTATTTCTAGCAGGAATCATGATGTGGGACACGCGAGAGTCAGCCTGGCATACTGCACACAATGGATTGTGCTGGTACAGGCCGGTGAAAGGCTGAAATGTATGAGGAGTTTCCAACTCACTAATATAGACCAGGTTTCCTGACTGAACTCCAGGTTTGAAGTCTCCATACTGAGGCTCCTCGGGCAAGCAGAGATATTCGGCAGCACCACCTTTGTGATTGAAGTGAGAACCAGCCATGAACCCGGTGTAAATTAGGGAGGCTCCAGCTGTCTCGCTGCACGTTTCCTTTCCCCAGCGAGTGTAAGAAACACCAAAGTGAGCAACTTGATGCTGGAGCAGCACAACAGTGTCTTCTACCTTACTGAGGCGATCTTTCACCTTCTCTTCGCACTGGTCACCCTGGAAATCCTCAGGACACTGGCAGATATGCTGGCGGATGATATCCACATGTACACATCGTCCACTATTCTGGCAGAACGGTTTCATGACGCATTTTCCATAGTCATGGATGCAGTTGTGAAGTCGGAATATATCTCCAGCATTGGTTATGCCGAAAGCCTTGCCCTGAAGCAGAGTTACCAGTTCAAGGAAGTTTAGTCCGTACAGGGAATCGACGTCCAACTCGTTGTTTCGGAAGGCCTGAATGTAGCGCGGGATGGACTGCTTGCGTAATCCAGCTTGGATGAACAGCTCTTCCAAACAGTCAGTTCGCTTGTTGTCACTAGGGGGCTTCGTTGGTGCATCGGGAATATCATCGGGGTTGTAAAATTCTGGAAGAAAGTCTTGGTTTTCATCTTCTCGACTATCTACACTGTCCGAAAAGAGTTCATCGGTGTCAGTCGCAGGCTCTGAACGCCTCGCTATATCGCCATGAGAGATAACTATCATTGCACCAAGCAATAAAATAATTTTTGGGGCAGACATTTCCAGACTTGAAATGGAAGACGTTGTAATCTAACTTGCCAATTTTGTTCTTTTAAAATCTTTCTGATAGGTTTTGACCTTGAAGAAAGACTGATGATTGATCTCGTGGTGTCGCTGAATTTATAGACTTTGCTCTCTTGTGATTATCGCAATCCACTGGAGCTTGAAACCTCACGTTTCCTGTTACAGGAATATGGAAGACGGACGACTTTGCCGCTGTACCTTGAAGTTTCATGCACTGGTGAACCATCGGACAAAAATTCCTTTTCCCGTTAGATAATTGGGTTTCGTATCGATGCTTTGTTGTGACAGTTACACATTTACGAGTTTTCCCCTTCAATTGGGCTAACTGTGACTCTTGGTCCAATTATGTTTTGGCGTGTTCATCATAATTATCCGGATGGGGTTTATAGTGGTAAGTGTGCCGACAAATATGCACAGATGACGGTGTGTTGGTCTATGTCGTTCCTATATTGTTTCCTTTTGTGTGAAGCGTTGCCATCATGTCTAGCATTTTGCAGCTGAAGTCGTGCCAACGTTGCCTGAAATATTCTCCACTTGTCTGTGCCGGTTTTTTTGCAGGTTGTGCGCATGTGAATTTGGGGAATGCGCTGAGCGTAAAATTTGAATCCTCAAGTTTAGTATCCGGGTTTGCGTGTTTACATCGTACATTGTACTTGAAATAGAATCCAACCCTCATCTGTTTCAAAAACACACAGCATTGAAACCTTCCCTCGTGAAACGGCATGATTTTTGCAGTTCATCGAAGGCCATTGCAGGACGTTGAAATGACAAGGTACAGGGAAGTTATTGTTGCTCTATTTTTGATTTATTTTAGTTCATTGCCTCAACTGTACAACGCACAACTTCAAAGAGGGTTGAACAGGCTTGGACGCGTGACGATTATTTTTTTCCGAGATCAAGTTAAAGCTGTACGTCAGGAGCTCACTTTCACTCGGCGTCCACACTCGTTTAAAATATTACTGGAAGTGTTTTTCTATGGTTAATATAGCCGAATAGAGCCTCCCTCTGGCATCGGTCCTCATGTTCCCATTTCTCTCTGATTGTTAATTCTGATTGTTAAATCAATCAATGCTGTGTGCGTTCGATACTGGGTTAACCTGAGAGCAGAGGTAGAACAATTAGCCAAATTTGCGACAGGATAACACCAAGACATTTGTTATAATCAAGGAAGGATGCGCATTTGCGCCGGTACCATAATTTTTTCATGCCTTTCCTGCCTGAGGTAAGTTAGGAGGTCGACTTGAAGTGCAAAGAGAGTGCATGGACAGTGTGGGTGATTAAAAGACACGAGAACAGTTATGCTCACGGTTTCTTTCACTGTTATACTCGTAGTGGTAGAAAATCTTAAAAAATCAAAAATCGAAGAATAAATCTAAGGTATCCATAAAGTTGGAAATCCTGCTTGATCGTTCTTTGATGTGCGAGATTTCTGTACATACATGTACATGTATACATAGTACCAAAATTGCTAGTACATGTCGTGTCAGGTCACACCGACTTGTTCGGGAAATTCAATACCACTTAGACAAGAAGAGATTATGAGTACCCTTCAAGTGCTCATTGTCTAGCAGCTCTTCACGTGTGGGGAATACCTCAGACAAAAATCCAAGCATGCCAGGCCTACAATGTAGGGGCTAGTGACGATCTACATGTTTCGCCCCATTGGCATTGTCGAGGTTCTACGCCGCATAATCGGAAAGTCCATCCTCTCCGTCATTGGTCGGGACATCCAGTCGGCAGCAGGAACCTTGCAGCTATGTGCAGGTCAGGACTGTGGCATCGAAGCCGCAGTCCACGCAATGACCAACATCTTTAACTCCCCTGACACTGATAGTGTTCTGATGGCAGTGATGCGGCTAACGCATTCAACAACCTGAACCGCAGCGTATGCCTCCGTAACGTCCGCCATCTGTGCCCTGCGCTGGCAACGGTGGCCATCAACTCGTACCGAAGCCCGAGTCGCCTATTTGTTGGCGGTGAAAGCATTTCCTCCAGCGAGGGCACCACACAAGGGGATCCACTGGCAATGCCTCTCTACGCCATCGGCATTCTCCCTCTCATTCCGGCAACCGAAACGGATGGTGCCAGGAAGCTATGTTACGCAGATGATTCCTCTGATGGCGGTAGGCTACGCCGCCTCCGTACGGTGGGATTCCCTCATGTCCCCTGGCCCAGGCTTCGGGTGCCACTTTAACGGCAAAATCCGTACTGATCGTGAAACTGGACTGCCTGGAAGAAGCCACGAGCATCTTCGCTGATACTGGCATCCAGATAACTGCTGAGGGGCATCGGTATCTCGGTGCGGCAATAAGCACTCCTGCCTTTATTCAGGATTACCTCCAGAAGAAGGCAGATGCATGGTGCAAGGAGATCGATGTGCTGACCTCCTTTGCCCTATCTCAACCACAAGCAGCATATACAGCCTTCACGCGTGGCCTCGCCAGCAGGTGGACGTTCCTCTGCCGAGTTCAGAAGGAGGCTCCGGAAGCCATGGCACCCGTTGAGCATATCATCTACACCAAGCTTCTACCAAACTTGACGGGACAGCCTATTGACTCCGCTCTCAGGCATCTCTTCTCTCTCCCCTGCCGTGAAGGCGGGCTCGGTGTGCTTGACCCGACCACACTGGGGACGCAGTACTGTTCCTCTCGATCCATCACCTCGTCGCTCGTTGAGTACATCGTCGCTCAGTGCCCACAGCTTGGTGATGCGCTGGCCACTGTCAGCCACATGAAGACCAGGGTACGCAATGAAGCCCGCCGCCGTATTCAGGAGGCTGCTGCGTCTTTCATCACCGCAGCTCCTGAAAGCCTGCAGCATACTATCCACCTGGCCAGCGAATCTGGAGCATCCAGCTGGCTACCCTGCCGTCCATTGAAGGCTCATGAGGTCTCCCTATCCCAGAGTGAGTTCAGGGATGCCCTAGCTCTGCGGTATGGATGGCAGCCCAGCCGCCTACCATCAGCGTGTGTGTGTGGTGAGCCATTCGATGTGACCCCCGCTCTTTCCTGCAGCACTGGCGGCTACCCGACAATCCGTCACAACGAGCTTCGTGACGTGACAGCGAATCTGCTCAAGAGAGTTGCCACGAATGTGGCAGTCGAGCCTCGACTCCAGCCGCTAACTGGAGAAAGGCTGCAGTACCGAACCGCTATCACTGACGACCAGGCTCGATTGGATGTGGCTGCTAGTGGTGTGTGGGGTGGAAGATTCGAGCGTGTGTTTCTCGATGTACGGGTTTTCAACCCTTTCGCGCAATCGAATCGAACCTCCTCAGTCACCAACACGTACCAGCGCCATGAGAAGGAAAAACGTCGACACTATGGCCAACGCGTCAGGGATAATGAGCATGCCACCTTCCTGCCATTGGTTTTCTCAGCCAGTGGTGGGATGGGGAAATCCGCCACCACCTTTTACAAGCGTGTCGCGTCTCGAGTCTCAGAGAAGCGAAGGAGCCGTACAGCCAGGTCATGTCGTTGATCTGGTGCCAGCTGTCTTTTGCCCTGCTGAGATCCAGCATTGCTTGCTTGCGGGGCGCATGGCGGATTCGTCCCCTGCCAGCCATGGACACCTCTGTCGTGAGGGTGGTGGCTGAAGCGGCTATCCGGTCCTGAGGCAGTTGTGTTCGGTGTCTAAGGCCGGTTTTTGACATGCCTGTACTAAGTACATCGTAGTTGTACATTTGGAATTACAATTGTTATTATTTACATTAGACTGTATTCACAGACATTTTATGACATTAAACTGTAGTACTAGACTGTTTTCACAGCCATTTTTGCTCTCTCCACTGTTTTCAAAACCATTTTTGCTCGTTTTTCTTCGGGTGCTGTTGAGATTGCACTCGTAATAATAATTGGGTTTATTTTGCGCATACAAGAGGCTTGGTTGCGTTGAAAAAAATCTACATGTTTATGTTCATGTCCTTGTGCAATGTTATTGTGTGACTATGAGTACAAACGTCCTCTTGAACCCGATGTGTGACCCAGTTGAAGGACTTGAACCCCGAACGATAATCCGGCGGAGAGTAATATTCGGGAGAATGAAGTAGAAGACACCACTGCAGCTAATCTTATGGTTGATAAATATGGTGGTAAAAACACACCTGGCAATATGGCGGTAAACACACGCCTGCCCACACACGCTCTCTAGGCTGCAAAGTTCTGGCACAGAGCTCTCCTTCTCACCACCACCACCACCACCATCTGTACGCGCCTGGCACCTGGTCAATGCATGGCTGGCGGTATCCGGCATAGCAGGCTGGTACATCAAGAAGCACATGGCACATAGATGATGACACAGCAACGACATAGCTCGATTGCGACGTACGTTTCGTTCCCGCTGGACTCATCAGGCAATCTTCTTCTTGGATGTCTTCATACGGAGCTTGACTCGGGAGAATGAAGTTGAAGACACTACTGCAGCTGTACTTATGGTTGATAAATATGGTGGTAAAAACACACCTGGCAATATGGCGGTAAACACACGCCTGCCCACACACGCTCTCTAGGCTGCAAGGTTCTGGTGCTATGTCGTTGCTGTGTCATCATCTATGTGCCATGCGCTACTTGATGTACCAGCCTGCTATGCCGGATACCGCCAGTCATGCATCGACCAGGCGCCAGGCGCGAACTGATGGTGGTGGTGGTGAGAAGGAGAGCTCTGTGCCGGAACTTTGCAGCCTAAAGAGCGTGTGTGGGCAGGAGTGTGTTTACCGCCATATTGCCAGGTGTGTCTTTACCACCATATTTATCAACCATAAGTACAGCTGCAGTGGTGTCTTCAACTTCATTCTCCTGAGTCAAGCTCCGTATAAAGACATCCAAGAAGAAGATTGCCTGATGAGTCCAGCGGGGACGAAACGTACGTCGCAATCGAGCTATGTCGTTGCTGTGTCATCATCTATGTGCCATGCGCTACTTGATGTACCAGCCTGCTATGCCGGATACCGCCAGCCATGCATCGACCAGGTGCCAGGCGCGAACTGATGGTGGTGGTGGTGAGAAGGAGAGCTCTGTGCCAGAACTTTGCAGCCTAGAGAGCGTGTGTGGGCAGGCGTGTGTTTACCGCCATATTGCCAGGTGTGTCTTTACCACCATATTTATGACTTCCCTACGTGAAGCGTAGAGCAGAAAAGGATTTTTTACAGGATACATTTACGTTACGGGAACGTGAAGAGAGTTCGCGTGATTCTTTGCGCCGCGTTTCCCAAATGTAGAGCAGAACCTCACTAGTTCCTCTTATAGAAATATCGTTACTACACAACGTTTTTTGCTTGGGTGTCTAGTGACAGGTAGTACGCAAAACATTGCGTACATGTACATCAAATGTTTGCATGATACGAAGTCACGACCTCTAGATTTTAGCAGCCGTGACTGTCCGTGACTGTGGCTAAGAGTATTGGTCTAATAACTAAAAAAATGGTATAGTTGATGTTCGATAATAATGGAAGGCGAAGTAGAGCTACGGGAGAGATGAACTGATTATCCGCAGTGCGAGGTTGCCATCGGTTGGACGAGTATGTGACGATTACAAAGACAGTCAAACGTGATAAATTTCGAAGGTAACTCAAACTAAACGTTTTTAAAAGAAGTCAACTAATGAAAATAAGAAGTAATGTGTTCTCTTTTCCATGTTGATTTCTAGAATGCATGAACACCTTGGTATGGGGATACTCATGTATTGTGTTGTACTAATGGCCAGTTGCAATTACAAAAAACGCATAATATTCCGAACTTTGAGGCTCGATAAGTACAACAAAGTGAATTTGTATCCCCGCGTGCCAAAGCAGAAACGTATTATGAGGATTTTGCTAGCATATTGCGAGAATCCATGGTAGCACAATTCTATGACTTCGCGATCATAATCCGCCGGAGCCTACAGCAGGGGCAGAATGTATGTTGTAGAGTCATGTGTGTGTTGCAGAGCCACGATGCCTTCTGGATGGTTGTTTCATGGGATAGATAGTGTGATTGCTTTGTCTGTACACTGGTTACGCAGCAGTGTTACTGAAAGATGAACATGTCTTCAGTCTACAAAGAAAGGAAAAAGGAAAGCCAATTCAATTATGGACTCAGATGGAGAGCCAAGGTTTAATTTATATAAAAGAGAAAGACCAAGGAACTACAAGGTACGCTATACTGTCCACTAACAGTATAGCGGAGTGCGCATCCAAGATGTGCTAGAGCTGTTAGCCAGTTAGTTGTAGAACGGCAGTACCGTCGGTCAGCGTCGTGCACTGTTATCGCATGAGCTGATTGTTTAACTGCTGGTGTTAGTGGGCAGTATAGCGTAACTTGTAGTTCCTTGGTCTTTCTCTTTTGTATCAATTCAATTATGGTAAAATAGGAGACGGACAAAAATAAAAAATACGACAGGAATATGCAATGTATAACTATACAATACAGGCCATTGGCAGCCACTGGCTATCCAACTCTGGTGTTGTTTGCTGTGTTGTGCGTTCCGAGCACAAAGACGCACTGTAATCATTTCCTAAAATTAATGTCAACATGTACATGTACATGTATGAGTAAAATGGTCCCGTCCGTTCAGATTTTTCTTTGTTTTGCTAATGTTCATGATTCACACAGGCATTCTGTTAGCTGCTAAAATTGACCCTCGCTGAATACATGATTGTAGTATAATCACATTTTTGTTTAGCCCTTTTTCCCCTTCTGTTATTTTTATTTGTCCCCACATGATTTTTTTCAAGCAGTCCCCATTCCATTGTCATGTAGATTCACTGAGGAATGTAACAAGAAAACAGTCCTGAGCAAATCCTCTCTTTCCTTTTCGTTGTGTGCCTTGCGATCATCGTTTCACACATTACTAATGCATGTCGATATTAAGGAAATGCTTACATTGCAATTAGTCGTCCTTGCTGCTATATTCTATTTATTTATTAATGTATTTATGCACCTCGTAGCATGTCAAGACAGCCAATTGAATTGAGGAGAGGGTGAGACCAACCACGGAAGAAGAGAAAAATGAAAATGAAACGAATGTACACAGAAGGGGGAAGGGATTAGCAACGAATACTAACAAAGCAATGGGATGCCCAACGAGCTATGCAGCGGAAGTGATGACTGTGATTCTGTTTACTGGAAACTACTGAAGTGCTAACTGACGAGGGTACGGAATTTAGGCACATCTGAAGCTTTTCTAACACTAGGAGGCAGTTGGCGCCACGTGGAGTAGGAGGAAAAGAAAGGTGAATTTCCGAAGCATCAGGACAGTGTTGCAAAGTGGTAGTTGATGCAGCTGGATTCAAATATGTACTAGAGACGTAACGGTCGGTACAACATGTTATGTGAAGTATGTGGCGGTGAACAACTTCTAGTTTCTAAATTTGGATCCAAGCAGGGAATCCGTACGTGAAGAGAGGAAATATATAATATACCATATTATGATATTTAAATAATTAAGGCTGTGTTTTTTGGGGCAAATGGGAGAAGTGACTTTTTATGATGCCAACAGATCGGCATACTCGGGAGGACACATGGTTCGCGTGGTAGGACCCGGAGAGGGCGGGATCTATGACAATGCCAAAGATTTTTTTATGATAGGGAGCTACAGAGACAAAGTGACGGGGATCGTTGGGAAAGTGGAAGATAGGCACGGAATCTGTGGGAGGTGAAAAAGAAGGAGCTCGGTTTGATCACATTTGGCTTGAGGTACCAAGTGCTCATAGTGGTATCATCCGCAAATAAAGAAATCTTTGGAATTGCATAGGGGAGGTCATTTACGTACGTGAGGACGAGCATTCATTTTTGTAGACCAGTTCTTCAACATGGTCGCTGTTGCTCTACAAGTGGCGCTTCGCGGTTGAGAGGCAAAACGTACTTAGGCCGTTTGCAGAGCAATCATCTAAAGGAATATGCGAGATGGAGACAAGCGTTTTTACTAATCCGATGACAAGAATCAAAGAAGCGAACATTGAACGTTGAAGAAAACAAATAATTAATATAAACATGCATCAATATACCTGACAACAAATGTGCAGTTACACACCTACGAGTACATGCAGTTGTGGTCATTCTATCTAAACCAAATGCCTTCTTCATCGAAATATGACTGACCGTTTAAGGCCTGTTATATAGCGTTGTTTTTGCCAGCTAGCTGGCCTCTGCGTACACCGCAGACACACTCACACACAACAGAAAGATGCAGGTCACAGTAGTAGTGTGGTCGTTGTTCACTCAGTAGTAGTGTAGCCTTTGTTCACTCACGGTGGAAGATGGAAGAGCTAAGTGTATACATGAGCAAGAAGAAGGGCATGCCATCTCACGCATATACATGTACACGTATGTACCAGACCAATATGATGCAAAAAGTGAACCACTGTGGTGAATGGGGCCTCCGGATAATTAACCAGCTCAAAGCTGGCGGAAAAAACCTCAGGACCCCGGCGGAGGCACAACCCTGAGAAAAAACCAGTTAGAATAACCCCGTAAGATAAATGAACAAAACGTAGCCTACAGGACCTATCCAGAAGTGAGAATAATGGGGAGGGTGGGTGGGAAACTGCAACGAAGAGAAAGACCACGATGAAGAGAAAAGTTTGAGAACACTGACAAAAGAACAGCTGACGCAATCCTAGTGCCGTAATTATGGTAAAAATGCTGGCAAAAAAATACATTTTTCGTTTCATTCGCTACGCTCAGCCAACGAAAAAATAACACTTTTCAAACAGTGCACATACACATTTCTAGCATATTATACTGTAGACTGGATAGCTGACAGGTAGAAAGTTCTCTGAGCTGTAGCCGATAAATTGCGACGGGCATAATGAGCAAAACAGGCTAGTGTAGCAAAGAACTTCATTATTCCAACGTATTTAGGCAGGCGTTGTGGCCGGATTCTGCACTGTAAAAAAAGAGTTTAGCGAAGTCTGGCTAAGACACCATTTTTTGATTTTCACAGTAGAAACATGGGAAATGACAATACCTTTACAGATCGTGTACAGGACAGGGCTCAGTACAGGCAGGGCAGGATGCCGTATCAACATAAAACTGTGTCTTTAGTGTGGTTTAGCAGTAGGCCTTTCCCATCGAGGTATTGCTCTAGCAGCCGCATACTATCCTGAAAGCATAGCATGATTTCAGCCACATCAGAGCCGAGGATGTAGAACGAAATAAACGTACATCTGCTAGACACTCTGGTGAAATATTTTGGGCAATCGGCGAACGTAGATGCAGAAAAGCAATGTCCCAAGGACAGACGCTTGGGGAACCCTCTTTTTCAGGGCTTGGTGTTACCCTTCTTACCGTTGACAATAACCTGCTGGCTGCTTTTCGTGAGATAGTCCGGTAGTCGAGAACCACTTGAGGACGTGCCGCCCAAAGCGGTGGTGGCTAGTTCGTGCAGTAGACCTGTGTGCTGCACCTACTTGTACACTCATGTACATGTTTATGGTTAGGCTGCGAGCACGAAAATACTTTAAGTTCAACATTGTATTTCTGTTGAATTACATGTACTTCATAGTAACTCTGCACCTACCTACATTGTACATACACACACTCACGCGCTCACGCAGACACGTAGACACTCATGCTAGTACATTGTATAAGCACACGTGATTACCCAAAACGGATTGGTTATACATGTAGACATTTCCAATTTTATCAGGGTTGTGAGTTGGACTTTTTATTTTATAATTTAGACATGGCATCAATACTATCTTTGAATTATGAATGCAAATGCAGCCGTAGATAGGAAGTAACAATTTGAGTAACACAGATTGGTTGGGGGAGAGGAATTTTAAGGCACAGGAAATACAGTACAGCGCTATCAGGACGACATTGTGCAAATGTTCAATCTAATAAGTCCCGCTTCAAGTGATGGTAGGACCTGCGGGGAGATTCAGTGCGAGTTTGGAAGAGATCCATCATGGCAATGAGAGTGCGGGAGAAAATTGAGGCCTCCCAAAAGGAGGTGAGAAGTGGAGGAACAAGCGTTGGAAAATAGAAGGAACATGTACATGTATTTCTAAAAAAGACAGGATATGAAAACATAAAATTTATAGTAGTTGGATAGTTTTTGAAAACAGTGTAAGGTCGTGTAGGGACGTTCATTGAGAGACAGAAGCAGTTTAATGCTACGGTAGGTATCTAGGTTTTGTGGTACAAGAGAGTGCGGGAAGAAACGCCTAACTGTCCATTAAGAGCCTGGAGGTGGAGACAAGAGTTTGGTAAATCACTAATCATAATTCTCAGTAATCCAAAAGTAGAAGAGACAGAACATCCAGTGCAAACCAGTCGCAAAGTGCCAAAATGTAAACGTTGGTGGAGAGATTTTTGGAGTGGCACATTACGTTCCTGGGGTGATTGGACTACATGTACTATTACAGAGTTTACAGTTAACGTGTACATACTGCACACGTTAGCTCCTTCTGCTTGTCGTATGGGGGACATGACATCTCACTCTGACACGTGACCTCCGTGAAGTACAGTAGAGCTCCATTCTGGTCAGCTGATGTTCCCTTGGCAACGTCTGGGTCTACGTCCACGCAAACATTCTTTGTGCGGCGTTGTGTATGATGCTGCGCCATTAGATATCCATGGTACTCCAGAGTCCAGCCCTGAGGACAGGTATTTCTTGCTGGAATCATGATGTGGGACACGCGAGAGTCAGCCTGGCATACTGCACACAGTGGATTGTGCTGGTACAGGCCGGTGAAAGGCTGAAATGTATGAGAAGTTTCCAACTCACTAATATACACCAGGTTTCCTGACTGAACGCCAGGTTTGAAGTCTCCATACTGAGGCTCCTCCGGCAAGCAGAGATATTCGGCAGCACCACCTTTGTGAGTATAGAAAGACCCAGCCATGAACCCGGTGTAAACTAGGGAAGCTCCAGCTGTCTCGTTGCACGTTTCCTTTCCCCAGCGAGTGTAAGACACACCAAAGTGAGCAACCTGATGCTGAAGTAAAACGACAGTGTCTTCTACCTTACTGAGGCGATCCTTCACCTTCTCTTCGCACTGGTCGCCCTGGAAATCCTCAGGACACTGGCAGATATGCTGTCGGATGATATCCACATGTACACATCGTCCACTATTCTGGCAGAATGGTTTCATGATGCATTTTCCATAGTCATGGATGCAGTTGTGAAGTCGGAAGATGTCTCCAGCATTGGTTATGCCGAAAGCCTTGCCCTGAAGCAGAGTAACAAGTTCAAGGAAGTTTAGTCCGTACAGGGAATCGACGTCCAACTCGTTGTTTCGGAAGGCCTGAATGTAGCGCGGGATCGACTGCTTGCGTAATCCAGCTTGGATGAACAGCGCTTCCAAACAGTCAGTTCGTTTGTTGTCACTAGGGGGATTCGTTGGTGCATCGGGAATATCATCGGGGTTGTAAAATTCTGGAAGAAAGTCTTGGTTTTCATCTTCGCGACTCTCGACACTGTCCGAAAAGAGTTCATCGCTGTCAGTCCCGGGCTCTGAACGCCTCGATATATCGCCACGAGAGATAACTATCATTGCACAAAACACTAAAAGAATTTTTGGGGCAGACATTTCCAGAATGAAAATGGAAGACGTTGTAATATAACTTGCCAATTCTTCTTTTAAAATCTTGCTACTATGATTTGACTTGGAAGGAAGACTGATGATTAATCTCGTGGTGTCGCTGAATTTATAGGCTTTGCTGTCTGGTCACTATCGCAATCCCCTGGAGCTTGAAACCTCACGTTTCCTGTTACAGGAATACGGAAGACGGACGACTTTTCCGCTGTACCTTTACGTTTCATGCGCTGGTGAACCATCGGACAACAATTCCTTTTCCTGTTAGATAATTGGATTACGTATCGATGCTTTGTTGTGGCAGTTGCACATTTCCGAGTTTTCCACTTCAATTGGGCAAACTGTGACTCGCGGTCCAATTATGTTTTGGCCTGTTAACCATATCCGGATGGGGTTTACAGTGGTGAGTGTGTCGCAAATAATGCACAGGTGAGGGTGTCTTGGTCTATGTTGGTCCTCTATTGTTTGTTATTGTGTGTAGAGATGCCATCATTTCTAGCATTTTGCAGCTGAAATCGTGCCAATACTGCCTGATGAATTCTCCACTTGTCTGTGCTGGTTTCTTGCAGGTTGTGCACCTGTGAATTTGGGGAATGCGCTGAGCGTAGAATTTGGTTCCGCAAGGCTTACGGTTAATACACGGGTTTGAGTTTCTATATTGAAGGTAAAGAGAATCCTACCCTCATCGGCGACAAAAATACACAGCATTGAAACTGTCCCATAGGAAACGTCATGTGTTTTTTTGCATAGAAGGCCATTGCAGGACGTTGAAATGACAAGGTACAGGGGAGTGTTTGTTGTTGTTTTGTTTTGGATTTATTGTGGTTCGCTGCCTCAACTGTACAACTTGCCACTTCAAAGAGGGTTGAACTGGAAAACAATAACTGAAGTCGCAGTACGTTTGAACAGGCTTGGAAACATGAGGATTATTTGTTGAGATCAAGGTAGAACTGCATGACATCAGAGAGAAGGCTTAATTTTCCTTTCCTGCAGTTTGCGCTGTCCCCATTTTTCACTCCTTCCGCACGACTAACTTGGTCCCGCAATATTTTTTGTGGGATTCCTAATAATAGTAATTGAACGTGCCAAATGCAAACTCCGTTTCCTTATGCACTGTGTCCACACCAGCAGCATCAGCCCTCTACTGAAAGATATAGCCCTCCAACCTCAGTCTCAGTAACACACTTGACAATGACAATTGCAAATACGTTGTGCCGCTAAGTCAGCGAACATCTGACGACAGCCGACCATTGAGTTCCATCGCGACGCATTGGAACAAACTGCCACAGGAGCTCACATCCACTCGTCGTCCAAACTCGTTCAAAAAGCTGGAAGTGTTTTTTATGGTTAATATAGCCGAATAGAGCCTCCCTCTGCATAGACAGTGTGGGTGACTGAGAAAGACAGGAGAACAGCAATACAATGTATGCTTACGGTTACTCTCACTGTTATAATCGTAGTGGTAGAAATTATTTCAACATCCGAAATTGGACGAATGAATCTAAAGTATCTCTAAAGTTAGTTGTAAATCCTGCGAGATCGCTCTTTGATGTGCGTGATCGCTGTACATGTACGTAGTACCAAAATTAATGGCATAATTAGAGTGCCACGTCACACTGACTTGGTCGGGAAAGTCAATAACACTTAGACAAGAAGAGATTATGAGTGCTCGTGAAGTGCTCATTGTCTAGCAGCTCTTAGCGTATGGGGAATACCTCTGACAAAAATCTAAGCATGTCCTTGTGCAATGATGTTGTGTGACTATGAGTACAAACTTCCTCTTGAACCCGATTTGTTCCCAGTTGCAGGAGTTGAACGACGCATGCATGCCACTGAATGTTAGAGCGTGGCTAACCCTATCATGTACAGCAACATGTAAAGCATGTACTGCATGCATGCGAACACGTGAATCTTTTTTGTCTTTTTTTAACTGACAGACAGAACTTGAGTCACCTCCACCATTACACTGCGCTCTTTAGCCGACTAGACCTTCCTGCACAGAACTTGCTCGTACAAAGAGTAAAGAGAACGGGATAAGACAACAATGGGAAGAGTAGGGGGTCCAGGAAGGAACCTGTGCTTTGCAAGCCAACAACATCCAGCTGTGGTCCCACCGGCTTGAGCACCATTAATAGTATTTATTGCAGCATCTCAAGACTGAGTGGAATCACCGGCCAAGGTGAAGAGAGTGGGTGATACCCAACTACGGAGATCAAGAAAACGGAAGAGTGGCAACAGCCATGGCAACAACAACAGCTAGCCCTTAGCGGATTATGCCAGCATAATATTTGGCATAATCTTGGGATTTCGTCAAAAAAGTATGCTACGGCATAATAATTATACGGATTCCAACGTGTAAGGTCGGCATAATCTTTCGGTTTAGACGAAAAATAACCTTAGGGGCATAATACAGCTTTGTCAGAAAGCCTGCAGATGTTTTTTTAATACCCCAGTTACGACTCCTTGTCATAGCCCTTGGCGGATTATGCCGGCATAATATTTGGCATAATCTTGGGATTTCGTCAAAATATTATGCTCCGGCATAATACACGGCTTCCAACGTGTAAGGTCGGCATAATCTTTCGGTTTAGACAAAATATTATGCTTGGGGCATGGCCGTGTGTGTATGCGTGGTTTCTCAATCCTCTATGTACAGCGTGAATACATAGTGGAACCGAGCATAATTCAGCATAATTCAGCAAATTTGTTGGCATAATTGTGGCATAATCAAAAGCATAATTTGACGATTAGCCGAGCATAGTCCGCCAATGGCTAACAACAGCACATCTGCAACGAACGAGGATGGCAAAAGCCATGTGTTAGGAGAGTTTCTAGGGAGAGCGAAGAAGACAGAATGGAGAAGGGTTTATTGTAAAATATGAGGACGTGTAGAGATCAGGATGGGAGTGCAGAAGACGTACATGTATGGATGATCGAGAAGATGCATGTACATGTATGATCAGGGTTAGAGGACAGGAGCACATCAAGTTCTTTACTCCATTTTCCATGATGTGGAGCATTTCTAGACACAAACACAATCAGCTAACAGTACCGTTACAGTGATGCTAGTTACTAAAAACAATTTGGGTTGGTCAGAGTCTGTTATCAAAGGAACATTGGGCAAATGCGGTGCGCAGGGACCAGGGATGATGACTCAACATTCCTTGACCTGGCTAGGATCAGAAGCCGTTCTTACCAATTTAATTGGGGAAATTGGCTTTACTCCAATCAGTTTGAATTGTACCTTTGATACCCGGAAATTGGATCCATAGAGCTTAGACTCGTGCCCACAGATGTATTGATTTCCAATACTAGTGTGCGTTCAGAAAGTGGTGGACGTCACGCAACTGCATCGCAAAAAAAGGGCGTTTGTCAACTGTCAGCCGCTTTAATACTATTGCGACTGAGAATAATGTGACTTTCGATGACTTATTTATTACCTAATAGACCCGGATAGGAAACACTTGCATACAGCCTAAGAGACAAAACACCCATGAATGCGGTCACCTGAAGGAAACATTACTTAAGATAGTGGGTGCAACGAATATTCATCACAACATGCGGCTCAATGAAAGTAAGATTAGATTACGGCAGCCCAATACTTATCACCGATCTGGGTAACGAGCAGCTCTCAGCTCTCCCTCTTACTACATGTATCTGTCGCAGGAGCAGAAGTCAAAGAGAGCCTGATCGTGCATGTGTCCTACCCCTGTCTATCGTTTTGACATCCCGTAGGCCATAGCCTTGTTGCTGGTGATAAGGACCTAATTGGCACCACTTCGCATGTCACATGGTTTTTCCACGCTCCACAGCGTGGTGAAAACAGTCTATCATGCGCTCAGGCCAGTCGGGGTCTGCCAGCTCGGCATTTGGGGAAATCCAGGGATCATTGGTCTGTCCCAGGGGTCAGTAAGGATGTCCGGTTGTTGGTGCATCTTCCTGATACCTACATGTAAACCGTGTTTTAATAATTTGGATGGGGAGCCAAGGCAAAATTGTAACAGGGGAACATTTTGGGTACAAGTTATGCGGTCGAGTCCAACAACTTGAACTGTCATACGTGCACTATCTCGCCAAAAACTGACAAGGAGTACCGAGACCCTCCACAGCATGAACACGGACATTTGGAAGGCGATTGGTTAGAGCTATTCAGCAGTGCTCAAGCTGACTGTCATGCCGTGGAATGTCTCAGTACCCCTTGTCAGTTTTGTGCTTCGCTCCATTGTAGGTTGTGCACGTTTGACGTGGTTCTGGTTCCCTATCGTATGTATTGTACATGTACATTGTACATGTACACGTTTGAGGTGGACTAGCACGTTACCGTGTGGGGTACAGAATAATGATAGTGATGATGATGGCTGGTTTACTTCGTAATTCCAACGGGAGTTTGTTTGCTTGTTTTATGTGGATTCGCCGGAACAAATTGGAGAGACATTCAATAACAAGATAGCGAATATTGAAAGGGAAAGGGAAAAAATGGGTGGTGAGAGGGAGATAAAAGTAAGAAGGAGAAGGAGCAACAATTTCTTTAGAGCAGCGACGAGATAAGGTATAATTATTAGAGGAAAGAGGTGTACGTTAAATGTGTCTAAGTGTTAATACAGGTATGTGGAAAGTATAGTCATCTTGGGGTTAATGCCGATGGTATGTATCCAGTATCTAACATGTACTAAGCTACTGCTGCAGTACAAAGAAAAAGGCACAAGAGCATTGAGTAATACGTCTTTAACTCACACAGGACAAGCACCGAAATATAGCTCGCTGAGCATCCCATTGCTTTGTAAGTTGCTAATCCCTTCCCACTTTGTGTACGTGCTCTTCATTTTCTTTTTTCTCTTCTTCCGTGGTTGGTCTCACCCTCTCCTCAATTCAATTGGCTGTCTTGACATGCCACGAGGTGCAGAAATAAATAAATGGTAGTCCTTGGGAGCACATCATTATTACATACATGTAGAAAAGAGTCAGTTGCTCCATGTGCTCCCTGCTAGTACATGTTCCCGTATACATCCTCGAGCTGCCTAGACCGTCCTTGTTTGTACCGGTATATTGCACG